GTCCTTTCCTATGGAACAGAAATTAAAAAGTGCTGTTTGGAAGCAGTGATGTGGTACAGTGGGTTTAGATGATCCAGGCTTTGGACCAGCCACATGACTTTTCAAGGCTTTTTCATTCTATATTTATAAATTAGAAATAATAACCGACTATTGTTAACATGTAAGATGGGTGTTAGGAAAGTGCTACATGTATGAAGGGGTCTTCAAAAGTTTGTGGAATAGCTTACTGTGAAAACACTATCTTTGGAGTCCCCAAATTTTTTACATCAAAATGAACAATATTTTAGCTCCAGTGCTCCCGTCCCAGTCAGGTACCTGTGTCCCCCGGCAAGGACGGCGCCACCTGAAAATCGCCCCGGCCGTGGCCGTGGGTGAGACTTGGCTCCTACAACCACTGGGGCTTCAGCTCACCCCTCGCTGCCTGGTGTGGGGGCATGAAACCCAGGTACCGACAGCAGAAAAAAAAAAAAAAAGAAAAAAATGAACAATATTGTAAAAGTTGAGCTCTGGGTATAGTTTTTTCACAGTAAAAATTCTTCACAAAATTTTTGAAGACCTCTTATACACATAACATCTTTGGAGTGAACCCATGGATGGAATTTCTCTGTCTTTTGTAACTGTTTCAAATAAAAAACATTATTAGAACTGGTTTCTGTTATTGAAGTTTTCTGACAATAAAATGGACATCGTGACTAAGGATTGAGTTCACTTTCAGAGCTTGTATTCAAGTGAGATAATGATTTTTTTTGTCAGAAATGCAATAGAAGGATTCTTGCATGGAGGGCAGTCATTAGATTAAATAATTGCTGAAGGCCATTCCAATTGGAAGATTAAAAGATTGAGAGTTAAAATGAGATCTATCTATATACCAATCAATGAAATATTTGAGTGCATCCTGTGTGTATTTTGAAGATTAAAAGCCAGTGTTCTGGATTTTTTTGTTGTTGTTTTGTTTTTGTTTATTTTTTCCTTCCTGTGCATTGAAAGGCACAGGCTGCGAATGAGTCATTGGCTTTGATAGCCCTATTTAGAATTGGAGAAGCTCAACCAGGTGTTAGTGGTGATGTAACAAAAGCAAGGTCCTCACCTGTTGGGTAAGGTTAGGGTGGAGTCCATGGTATGCACCTGGAGACATCAGGTAGAAGCATGTCTGCCAAGAAGTTTGGTCAGAGTTTAAACTTCTGCTGCAGAGCAAGTCTTTCTAGATATTGTTGGCCTCTAATTTTTTTTTTAATAGCTTAACCTGCCATGTTGACATGTGTGGCTGTAATGCCATGACTTTGACATTTCTCATTTTCCCCGCCTGGAAGTTTATGTCTGGAAAATTGCCCACAAGCCTGTGGCTTGATATCTTTTCTTTCTTCTGAGCATCATTTTGCTGATTGCTGTTTGTGTGTTTATTGTATATTTCTCACATTCCTTCGGAAAATTATTTAAGTGGCTTCACTGTTACTTGACTTTTTTTTTAAGAGAGAAAAAGCTATATTTGTAGTTTTTGATCATATATGTTTTTAAGGTTTTTGCTATGATCAGTGCAGTAACTAAAAGGGGTTGGAGAAGGAATTCTTGCTTTTGTTAGAGAAGGGAGTGGTCATTGATTTTGAAGGAATTTAGTTTTTTAGGATGAAGGGACCTAATTCATTTCATGAATTGATATTTTCAGTTTGAGGTATCCTGGGCCAAAAGTTCTTTATTAGTTAGTAGCCCTTTGTGGTGAATTGGAAATGGAAATTAAAGTAAGCTAGACACTGAGAGCAGTCAGACTGAGCCAGAATGTGAGGTTCATAGTTTATGAAACCCAATTGAGGGAGATCCTCTTTCAGACCTGGAAAGAATCTTCTTGAAAATCATGTAGTCCAAGTCCAGGTTATGAAAGAGGCACCTTTTAACAGACAGAGCTGGGCCCTGAACTGGCATGCTCATATAAGAATCAGGTCTGGGATCACTTCAGACAAAGTTTCTTTGGGGATACCCCCGACTGAACCACTAGACTCAGAACCCCAATCATGGGGAGAATTGCAGGATCTGTGATCTGACCATGGAGTGCATGTGTCAGAACTGGTCCTCCTTCAGTGGCTTTGACGGAGCAGTGGGTGGCATACCCTGATGCAGATGGAAGATTTGGCAGTACATTGGAACCAGCAGAGGACATTGGTGCCATGGCAGAGGAATAAGGGCAGAACATATTGATCAATTATCCCAGCCAAGCATAGATAGCAAATATCTGGGCAAATGGAGACTCTGGGGTGGACTGTGTCAGCCAGTGGACGTTGGAAGGATTCCTCATCCATGGATTGGCAAGATCGACAGCATTTCAGAACTATCGAAACTGCTTAACCAGAACCCTTGGAGCACGCTCCACATCAGAGACCTTGGGATGACATCAGTCAGTTCCCCATCCCCTGGTACTGAGGTGATTGGGAGGCTGGGTGCAGCTTCTTCCCTTATCTCTACCCTTACCCTGATACAAGAAGAAAACGAAAATTTGGAAACAATGGTCTCACCTACTTTCCCCTATGCCTGGACCCTTCTCACCCTAATCAACTATGTAAACATCATCTAAAATTTTAAAAAAGAAAGAAAAGAGTCACCTTTGACTAAAGTCACTCAATTAGTAGAGGGGACTTGGAAAATGTGCGTCATCTTTTCTATTTTTCTGTGAGATGTTTGACGCTTTCGCACATAAATGGATGGAGGTAGAAATTGTATGAGAGTGGTGTGAGTAATGATATGATTGATGTCTGCTCGGAGACTTTCTAAGACTTTGAGAGATAGGATTGGGACCAGGGTAGTGCCTTAGAATTTCTGAGCTGCTAAGCTCAGGTTAGTGATGTACTGGTGGCTAGTATGGGGGTTCACTTAGTTGCTTAATCCTTTATGCATTAGGCATTTATTGACTGCATACTGTATTATAGATGCTTTGCTGAATGTTAGGATTACAATAGAAATAAATCATTCCCCTGTCATGAATCTGTACTACTAGAGCGGTGTAAGGGAGAATACCCATGTACCATCTCTTTTAAAAAACAAACAAACAAACAAACAAAAACTAGACAGGTGTCATGGCATAGCAAGTTAGTCCTATGCCTGCAGCACTGGCATACCTTGAGAGTGCAAGTTTAAGTTCAGCTACCTCACTTCCCATCCAGATCCTGCTTATGACGTGGGAAAGCAATGGAGGATGGATGGCCCAGGTGCTTGGACCACTGCATCCACATGGAAGGCCGGGAAAAAGCTCCTGACTTTGTATCATTTCAGCTTTGGCTATTGCAGCCATTTGGGGAGTAAATCAGCAGATGGAAGACCTCTCTGTAAATCTGCTTTTCAAATAAAAATAGAATGGGTCTTTTTAGAAAACAAATACTAATGTTATCAGATTAGTGGCTCGCTGAATTTAAAAAATATTTATTTTTATTGAAAAATCAGATATACAGAGAGGAAGATATTCCATCTGGTGATTCACTCTCCAAATGGCCACAATGGCTGGAGCTGCGCCAATCCAAAGCCAGGAACCTCCTCCCGATCTCCCATGCGGCTGCAGGTTCCCAAGGCTTTGGGTCGCCCTTGACTGCCTTCCCAGGCCGTAAGCAGGGAGCTGGATGGGAAGCAGGACCGCTGGGATTAGAACCAGCGTCCATATGGGATCCCAGTGTGTGCAAGGTGAAGACTTTAGCCACTAGGCCACTGCGCCAGGCCTGGCTTAGTGAATTTTAACCCACATTCTGTAACCCTTGTTGTCTATTTTTTTATTCTTTCTAAGGAATGCAGAATATCAGGATCTGATACTGCTGCTGAACAGGCTGAGTCCTGGGGTAGAGAAAGACATTATAAGAAAGCGTTGCTGGGAATCACCTATAGGTTGTAGGCTCTTTTGGAGAAGAGATTTTTGCATCATCACCTATTGCCTTCAGTAATTCTACCTTTGTCGTTTGGCAGGGGAAGGGTGGGTGTGATAGAGCAAGGAGGTACCTGGCGACCTTCTGAATGGGTCTTCTTCCAACAGAGAATTGGAAACCAAACAGAATTGCCTCTGAGATCGTCCTTCACTGTTACTGCTTCCTCAGCTGGGACTGTCAACCTCAGGAATGTTGGGCTGGTGCCAGCCTACCGGGGTCAGGGACATGGCTTTGAACCAGTCAGGTCTGAAAGAAGAGATCTTTTGCAAGTGATTGCTTTCTTTGGTGTTCGCTTGAACCATTTCTCCTGAGTATAAAAAGACATGTGTGGGGTAGGCTCGTTTTCCTGAGATCATGTTTTTCTTGGGCAGAGGTAACCTTAGTGTTATGAACCTTTGGGATTCCCCTTGTTATGCCAAATAGCTCATTTGATTTCCAGGAGTTTTGCTTAGTTTTAGCAATCAGTTCTCCCATGTCTTCTACTGTCAGATCACTAGTCAACCCTGAAATTATCTGGTGCACAGTTTTCATTTATTCCACAATATTTACTGAGGGCCTGTGTGCGAACACTGTACCTGGTGCTGCTTGCTGGGCGTACATTAGTAAATAGAATGCACAGGCTGCCTGCTTTCAAGAAATGTGTGTATTAGAGAAGGTTGCTAGACAGCTTAACTGCAAAGAATTTCAAATGCTAGGAGGAAAATAAGCAAGGTGCCATGTTCAAGAACATTGCGGGTAGGGGGTTCTTTGGATTGATGATCTGCTGCCTTCTTTTTAATTTTCATAAGCAAACTCATGGTTGAAATTAATATTCTAGAAAAGCAGAAAAAAAGCTTTACTCAGAGTTGTATCGATTTGTGATTGATGTAGGAATCAAGACCTTATTTTTGGTGGAATATTAATAGGAGCTAAGGGGCTAAATGTTATTTTTTTTCTAAATGTTAGTCTTCGTAATACATCTTGAACTGTTTTAGTTTACAATTAAACTGAAATGAATGAACCGTGATAATTAGTCTCCCCATTGGGTTAGAAAGTTGCTGAAATTGGGCTCTGATTATTCTGTTGTAGTGTAATTTGAGTTTTATGTGTTTACTTCCTCCTTAGGTGGAGGCTAAATTTTGATCTATGTCCTGCCTGCATCCGGCTGCTTGAAAGTACTTGATGATCACATGACCCTGGACATGGATGCTCTCCTGTCGGATTTTGTCCGTTCCACAGGAGCAGAGCCAGGGTTGGCCCGAGATCTCCTGGAAGGTAAGAAGTCATAGGGGAGAGTAAGAAAGACAAAGAAAGATGTGATGTTTATAGTTCAAACAATTTGGATTTTTTAAGGTTTTCAAGAAGATACTGTATCTATCTATCTATATATATGTGTGTGTGTGTGTGTGTTTGAGTATTCTGGATTTCAAGGCCCTGAAGGATTGGAGTCAAATCTGCTGTATTCTTTAGCGTCTTAATTAACAAGTGCTTTTTAATGAAGAAGAATATATAATGGCACAACTGGTAAGCACATGGAGAAGGGGCAATTTTTTAGCATAACTTTTTTTTTAAGATTTATTTTTATTGCAAAGTCAGATACATACATAGAGAGAGGAGGAGAGACAAAGAGAAAGATGTTCCGTCTGATGATTCACTCCCCAAGTGACTGCAATGACTGATGCTGAGCAGATCCAAAGCCAGGAGCCAGGAACTTCCTCCACGTCTCCCATGTGGGTGCAGGGTCCCAAGGCTTTGGGCCACCCTCAACTGCTTTCCCAGGTCACAAGCAGGGAGCGGGATGGGAAGTGGAGCTGCCGGGATTAGAACTGGCGCCCATATGGGATCCCAGTGCATGCAAGGCGAGGACTTTAGCTGTTAGGCCACCCCACCAGGCCCTAGCGTAACTTTTGAGTTCCTCTGCTTTTCCCCACATTTCTTATCACCTTTCCCTGTCACATTTGGTCATTTTCAACCTGAAAGGTCATCCATTATTCTCTGCATCCTTCAAAATTTAATTCAAATAATTCCTTTTGAATAGAACAATCCTTAAAGAAAAAAACACAGAAGCCAAAAATAAAGCAATCTTAACCGTTCCCCAGTCTTCTTATCACAGTTGTTGAATACCTCTAAGTTTTTGATATGCAAAGTACTTGAGATGCATTATTTTGTCCCCATAGCCACCCTGTGTTATAACTTTGGGAACTGATGTTCAGTGAGGTCACGTAGGATCTGATGTAGGCAGTTTTCAGACTGACTTTGTTTACAGTCATACGTTATTGTTTACACTCGCACACATGCAGATGCACATGCACGTGTGTGAAAAGAAGCTGCGGTGCTGTGAGTGTGCTCATTGTAGATCTGGAAGGCCTTTGAGGAAGTGAGAGTTGAACTGAAACCTGAAGAATGAGCAGGAATAATAAGAAAAGGAATGGAAGAGAGAATGTTTATACAGAAGGGCCCAGTGGGAGAGAGAATTTGGCATTTGGGATAAATTACGGGTCAGTGAAGTAGGATGAGGACTGCCAGAAAACTGGATTGAGAGGCAGGAGACAGCATATGGGAGGAGTTGGCTTTGTTGGCCATAGTAAGAAGTTTATATTTTATTCTAAGTTCACTGGGCTGAAAAGCTGGTGAAAGATCTTGATCCAGGAGTGACATGATTCACTTCAAGTTTTTAGTACTGTTTGTAGAGTACGGAGTAAGTCGGGAAGTGATCACTGACAAAAGCAGTAAAGAATATTGCCAAGTTCAGGAGACAGATGATGGTAACTTGGGCTACAGCCTAACAGTGGAAAGAGAAGTAGATAAATACAATGTAGAGGAATCAAAGGACTTGGCCTTCATTTTTATTTTCTTTCTCTCTCCCTCTGCCACTCCCTATGCCTCTCCCTCTTTTTCCTTTAAAAGTGAACTTTGGGGGCTCAGTGCAATAGCCTGAAGTCCTCACCTTGCAAGCGCCAGGATCCCATATGGGCACCGGTTCTAATCCCAGCGACCCCACTTCCCATCCAGCTCTCTCTTTGTGGCTGGGAAAGCAGCCGAGGGTGACCCAAAGCCGTGGGACCCTGCACCCACATGGGAGACCAAGAAAAAACTCCAGGCTCCTGGCTTCGGATCAGCTCAGCTCTGGCTATTTCAGCTACTTGGGGAGTAAATCATACGATGGAAGATCTTCCTCTCTGTCACTGCCCCCTCTCTGTATATCTATATATCTCCTCTGTATATCTGCGTTTCCACTGGAAATAAAATAAATCTTTAGGGGAAAAAAAATGAATTTTAGGGGTGACATTTGGCACAGTGGTCAAGACGCTGTTCCAAACACCTGCATCCTGTATTGGAGTGCATAGATTTGAGTCCCAGCTGTGCTTCCATTTCCAGCTTCCTATTGATGTGTACCATGGAGGAACAGGGTTCTGCCACCACATAGGAGACCTGGCTCTTGGGCATTTAGGGAACTAGCAGGTGGAAAATCTCTCATTGTTTCTCTGCCTTTCAAAAAAAGAAAAAGTTTTTTAAAAAATCTCCTATGTTTATAGAGCAAATAAGAGAGGAGAAGAGATTAGAAATAGAGAGGCTAAAGAGGTTACCCCTGAAATACTCAAGACTTAGTGACAATTAATAGGACCTGAACTGGGCCAGAGCAGTTAAAATGCACAAGAAGGAATGAATCTGAACATTCCTGAAACTCAACTGGGTGATAAAGGAAGAGAAAGATGAGATCTTAAGAGCTGAAAATGATAGAAATCTCTGGGCCTTGAGGAATATCAATTTGTTTTTTTCTTTTTCTTTTTTTTTTTTTTAAGTCATTCATACAGAGAGGAGGAGAGACAGAAAAAAAGATATTCTATCCACTGGTTCACTTCCAAAGTGGCTGCAACAGCTGGAACTGAGCCAGTCCGAAATCAGGAGCCTGGATTTTCTTCCTGGTCTCCCACGTGGGTGTAGAGTCCCAAGGCCCTGGGCCATCCTCTCTTGCTTTCCCAGGCCACAAGCAGGGAGCTGGATGGGAAGCAGGGCATCTGGGACATGAAAAAGTGCCCACATGGGATCCCTTGCATGTAAGGCAAGGACTATAGCCACTAGGCTACCTCATAGAGGCCATTATATCATTTCTGATTTAGGAAACATGAATCAGAGACCGTGAAGATGGTGGGCATTCAGTTTGGAAATGCTGATTGTTAAGGGGCTTTACAGACATTTGGAAATACATAGTGTTCAAGATATGTCATTCTTCCATTCAGTCATGAGGACGTAGTCCTCCATAGTGTCTTTTGAGGACACAAATCTTCCATTTGTTTAGCAAACCATCAGAAATCCTAACCCCCTACATTCTAGTAGGAAAGACAGTCAGTAAACAAAAAGTATGGTAACTAACTAATAAAAAAGTAGGTCATAAGGTGGTAGATGTAATGGAAAAGGGTAAGGGGGATGATGAGGCTGGCTATGTGTTTTAATTACGTAGTCGGGGTAGGCCTTACGAAGATGATGACATTTGAGCAAGTACCCGAGGCAGAGGAGGGAGTGTCTGTGTGGAGAAATTGCAAAGAGCCTTTGAGGCAGTGGGAATATTCAATGAAAATGCCTAAGGTGGGAATGGTGGTAACAAGCCGGGTGAGGAAAGGGATTTGAAGAGATGGAGCATGTCATGACTTAAAGGTAAGATCATCAGGCATGGATAAAAAGTAAGCTTAACCAGAGAATTATACTAAGAAGAAAAATAGCAGTACTAGTATAAGTAAATAGTGCTGTCTCTGAACGAGGCACTATTCTGAGAAGTTGCAACTCATTCAAACTTCATAATATTTCCAGGAAATAACTATTTATCATCATTCATATTTTTACAGATCAGGAAATTAAAACACAAAAAAGTGGGTGGAAAAGTAAACCAGATCTTAGGAAGCCATGAGTGTTAGCAAAGTGTGGGTTTTATTCTGTAGGCAGTGGTAAAGACTTAATAGATTTTCATCACTATGACATTTACCTGAGAGAAACTACTTATGAAGAAAGGAATTTTATTTCAGCTCGTCATTTTGGAAGTCCAAGACTTGGTGGTCTCCTTGGTCTCATGTCTGATGAGGACAGTGGATGGCCAGATGTGTGCAGAGCATGGATCACTGGTTGACTGGGAAGCAGGGAGTCTGGGGTAACCTGGCTTTTATACCTAACCCTTTAGTGAGAGTATGCATCCAGTGGTCTGAAGACCTTCCACTAGATACCTTCCAGATACCATAACTGGACCTGGCCTCCATCCTCCAGGACCATTAACTTAGGATTTGGGGGATTAAGTGTTTACCAAAGTTTGAGAAACAAATCAGGTTCAAACTGTACCAAGCCATTGGTAAAGATTTTGATCATGGAACTAAAATGATCAAAACTGAGCTTTAGAAAAATCTCATGGGATTTGTTCAAGTAGGTTGGAGGTGGGACTAAGTGATAGGAGTTGAATTAAGACAACAGCAGATAAAATAGAAAAAAATATGAACAATTATGCACATTTATGTTTTAATTGAATAATTTAACTTGAGAAAGCAACAGAAAAACCTGCTGTGACAAATCTATTTTTTGGAGTCCTTTCTTCATTAGATTAGTAATTCTTAAATTTGAGGAACGTATAGTTCCCTTTGACAAGCTGATAGGTACTGCCAAGTCTTTCACTAGAAAATTGCACATGTCCATAACCTTATATAATCTATAGGGGCTCACACTGTGGCATAGTAAGTTAGGCTTCTACCCACCATGTAGACATCCCATATGGGCGCTGGTTTGTGTCCTGGTTGTTCCACTTCCCATCCAGCTCCATGTTAATGACTTGGGAAAGCAGAGGAGGATGACCAAGTGCTTGGGCTCCTGCATATCTGTAGCAGAACTTGAAGAAGGTCCTGGATCCTGGCATCAGACCAGGCCAGCTCCAGCTGAGGTGGCCATTTAGGGAGTGAATCAGTGGATCGAAGATCTCTCTCATTCTCTTTCTCCTTCTTTTTCTTTCTCTGTTTCCCCCGTAACTCTGCTGTTCAAATAAATGATAAAGTAATTTAAAAAAAGAAAGGCTAAAATCTCTTTGGTTCTTATCGTTAGGAAACTGGACTTGAATCCTGCTTGGCCTCGGTACACACTAACTGTGAGTTTGGATAAAGCACTTTACCCCTCAGACTTGTAAAAGGAGATTCCCTTTTAGGTTAGGAGACCTCTAGGGAGTCTTCTTCATAGGGAGGAAGTTTCTCTTCTCAGGGAACTTACTGAGGAAATAGACAATAAATCAGTAATTGGGTATTTGAGGTGCAAGTTTCACACAGAACACTGGAGCAGGATAAGGAAAAGAAGACCTACTGACGTGTGCAAGAATTTGTGTTTGCTGGTTCTGATAGGCTGGCGAGACTGATCCTTCTGTGTCTCCATAGCTTCCCTTTCACTCGTGCATACACAGTTGGCGTTTCACTTTATCTCTTCACAGGAAAGAACTGGGACGTGAGTGCCGCTCTCAGTGACTTCGAACAGCTGCGACAAGTCCATGCCGGGAACCTGCTCCCACCCTTTAGCGAAGGGAGTAGTGGCTCCAGGAGCCCTGAAAAAGGGTGTCCTGATAGAGAAGCTGCTCGGCCTCCCCGGCCCGTGCTCCAGCGGCAGGATGACATCATTCAAGGTACTGGGGTGGCTGAGGGATAGATCTGTGTATAGAGTGAAAGCGGGGTCAGAAGGACTGCTAAATACCAACAGAAAGTTGATGATCCTGTGGAGGTGCTTTCATTTCTTTGCCTTTTCACTTGGCACATGCAGATGGAGGAGACCTCGGTCTGTCCAGGTGCTTGAGTCGCCTTCTGCATCTTGACTGTTATCCTGTATAAAGACCTGCTTCACATAGTGTGGCAGAAATAGAAGAGGATAATATCTAATGGGCAGAATAAGACAGAACACTACTCTCTGCTGTCGTAGGGTAGTTTACTAATATTTGCCCCGTCTAGGACATTTAAAAAAGCTATGTCCTTCTAGGAATATATCGTATGTATACTATGTATATATATACATCTTTTTAACAGATAAAAACATAAACATATACACGCAGTGTACTATTGTATTATTTTATGTAATTAAAACTTGAACAGTTTTTAATGTCCATTACTAAAGCAGTGGTTAAATAAATTTTAATTATCCAGTCATTAGAAAGAATTAGGTAGAATTTGATATACTGTTGGAAAAATCTAAAATCTTTCAGAAAGTTTAAGATAAAATACAGTGTGTGTAAAGTGCTCCTATTTGTGTTTTGAAAGATGATTCTAAAAGCTGTCTCTGCTTTGGTTTGCATGAAACTTCTAGAAGGATACAAGAGTTTGCCTCTGGGGAAGAAATGGAATGTTGAGTGAGGAAGCAAGTTTTTTGTACAAGCATTTTATAACTCTTGGTACTGTTTTGACTTTTTTTTTTTTTTAAGCCAGAGACTTTCAAGTGCCATGTATTCAAGACAAATGAAATGATCTCAGGCACTCTCCACATTACTGTTTTCCTCTGCAGCATATTAATAATTGACTGTCCCTACACATTTCTGATAATATGAATATTAAGCACAGTTGTGATAGATACTTTAGATATTACTGTGAAAAAGAGGAAAGTTCCCAAGTGTGTAGGATCTGTCATTAGTTTTTCTTTTCTATACTAGAAATCCTTTTTACATTCTAAAATCCTGAAAATTAGCAGAATATTTGAATAAATCTAGCTCATTGAAGCCACATTTCCTATATTCCATTTTCCTCCTACACAGAATGACCAGGTTGTTAAGTGAATGGGGAGCTTATGTTGAGAAACAGAGTTGTGAGAAGATGAAGGGGCTTGTTAAGCAAATTCCAAGCAGGAGTAGGAGGAGTGACTGCTTGTTGCTAATGTGTTTGCAAAAATACTATTTTCCGTAATTCTCCATGTGCATTTGGCTTGACGGAAAAGGACTGTGAAATACAGTAGGCAGGCAGACTCAGTTTTTCCCTGACTGGAAACCCAGTAACCACCAGCACTTCAGTGGAAATTTCTCTGAGTGGGCTGTGTGTATTCTAAGGTGACTCCATTTCTCATTGCAGAAAAACGCCTGTCTAGGGGCATCTCCCACGCCAGTTCCAGCATTGTTTCCCTGGCCCGGTCCCATGTCTCCTCCAATGGTGGGGGTGGGGGGAGCAGTGAGCACCCCCTGGAAATGCCCATCTGTGCCTTCCAGCTTCCAGATCTCACTGTGTATAATGAAGACTTCCGCAGCTTCATAGAGAGAGACCTCATTGAGCAGTCCATGCTGGTGGCCTTGGAACAGGCAGGTCCGTGAGTAGTACTTCCTCTCTTTCTCCTTCCCTCTGCTGTCAGTGGGCTGGCCCTGATCAGGAGCTTCCGGTGTGAGTGTGTGATCTGACTGTAGTCAAAGAGTCAATCAGATAAGCAGGTACTGAGCAGGGCTGCTCTTTGAAGTTAGAGAATGGATGCAATGAGACGCTTTGCTCTGGAAATTTCCTATTTGATGGAAGGATGCCAGACATACATATGAAAGGCTTAGGAATCAATAGCTAAAAATCAATATGAGGGGAAAAAATACAACTAATTACAGTTGAGTCCTGGTGAACAGAAAAGAACAGTGCTATAGGTAGTGCACAGTACTGATTAAGCGAAAGGTTAAAATTTATTTGTATGGAGCTTGCCTCTTGAGTTTGTTTACCTTTATAGCTGTGTTTGTTTTAAACTGCTGTTCAAAGTAACTCATGTGATAGGGTGAGACTGCTGGGTGTTCTAGGAGGGCTAGTCGGTTGTTTTTAAAACTATCGTCAGAGAAAGAGGTAGAAATTAGGGGCATGGAATGAAAGTTTTTATTTTTCATTTTGTTCCCATCTATGTTAGACATATACATGTATTTGGAACTTTTTTTAACTTAAAATTAATGTTATCTAGACTAGACATATAGACCAGTTTTTCTTTCTGTAGACTTTAAAAAATATACATTTTTTGTTTACTTGGAAGGCAGAGTAACAAAGAGAGAGATTTTCCATCCACTGGTTTATTCCCCAGATGAATGCAATGGCCCGGCCTTGGAGAAGCCAGGAGTGCAGAGCTTTTTGTGGGTCTCATCTATGAGGGCAGGAGCCAAAACACTTGAGCCATCTGCTGCTGTTTTCTTTGGCCTATCAGCAGGGAGCTGGGTCAGAAGTTAAATGGCCAGGTTGAGAAGAGGGTCCTCACGGTGGATGCTGGCATCCCAGCTGGCAGCTTTATGTGCTATGCCACAGCATTGGTCTTTGAGACTTTTCAGTAGTTCAAAAAACTACTAAACTGTCTTCATGAAATATTTTCTTCATGTAAATGGTGGTTGACAATTATGAGACAGCCATAGAATTCATACTCATTTTCTTGAATATTTTATGTACTTTGTCTAATTGTTCATGTCTCTAAAGTCACACCACACATATGCTAACATGTTAAGTCTCATATATGCAGATGTTAGACATGGGAGACCTACATGCCCAGAACTGATTTTGTTTTTCTCTTAATATATTCATGCTGAGCTTCATTGCTATAGGATTTACTGGTCTCCTGACCAGAGAAAGGAAATCAGAGCCAGACCATGTAGCCAGCACAGTTTTAACCTCTGACCATGGCCTTATCACTGAACCACTAACCTTGGCACTGTTGACATTCTTTGTTGTGTAAGCTACCGTATGTGTTATGTTATGGTTAGAAGCATCCCTGAGCTCCTCTATTTACCAGATGTGACAAACAAACATACTGCCCTGACATTGCCAGATGTCCCCTCAGAACAAAGCTGTCCCTACTTAAGACCCACTGATCAAACCATATACCCATGGGATTCTGGCTGATTAGACATAAGTGAAGTCAAGATGAAGTATAAGAGACTGATGGTTTTATTCTGGAAAGTCTAAAAGATGCTGATTTGGAATCAGTTTTAGAAATAGGGGAAGAAACTGTGGTGGCATGGTAGGTTGAGTCACCATTTGTTGCACTGGCAGCCTCTGTTAGAACGTTGCTTCAGGTCCTGCTGCACCACTTCCAATCCAGCTCCCTGGTAATGCAACTGGGAGAGCAGCAAATGAAGGCTCAAGTGCTTGACCCCTGCCTGTCACTTGTGTGAGCCAGGTGGTGTTGCTATCGCATGTCTTTAGCCCAGCCAAGCCCTGGTTATTGTAATTGTTTCAGGGAGTAAAGATCTGTATCTCTCTTTGTCATGCTGACGTTCAAAAAATAAATAAATAAATAAATCTTGAAAATAAAAATGTTGAGTTAAGGGGGATGTGAGATGGTCTTCTTGGATGAAAATCTTTTTTCTGCTCCTGTGTTTTTGCAGGGCGTTTGAACTGGTGGGTGAGTGTGGACCCCACCTGTCAGAGGCTGCTTCCTTTGGCAACTACTGGAGATGGGAACTGTCTCCTGCACGCGGCCTCTCTTGGTGAGTCTTGAAGCGTATCCTCCTTCGCTTGTAGAAAGGAAGCAGTTGAGTCAGATCTCATGTGTAGAACTTGATTCAGCCAACCTGGATCTCAGGCCATAGTGGTGGTTCACAGCAAGACTGAGTGTGTCTGGGGTCTGGGAGGTAGGTAGGTGGGGTGTGATCGACTGTTTGTTGTGGGCACAGGAGAAGTGAGAGCTCAGCCTGATTTTTCATGGAGTTAGGAGGACACGGAATTACTAGGGGCCTCCCCAGGAGAGCTAACCCCGGGGAGTAATGAGCAGCAGTGGACAGCAATATAAAGCTCAGTGTGTGTGTAAATCTACTTAACTAGTAACTGTTGGGGTGTATGGAAGTATGTTTTCTTTAAATTATTTTTTGGCACATACTTTAAATTATTGAGTCTATTTGCTTGCTGAAGATATTATTTGCGCTTAGCTTAAAAATGGCTCACTTAACTCAGCTATTCCTTAAGCTTTGATGCCAATTGCCTAAGAAGTAAGGACTTCCTGTTGGTGGCTGGTGGGCTGTAGTATATTCCCCACTTTGCAGTTCTCAAAGTCCCTGAACCTCCAGAGTCAGATTGCTTTTTCTTCATCCCTGTTGTCACAGCAGCAGTCTCTCTGAGCCTGACCGCAGCCTGGGGCTGTGTATCACAGTTAGGAAGTGGAACTCAGTCAATGTAAGGTGTCTTACTGCCTTGCTTTCTTGCTACAGGCATGTGGGGTTTCCACGATCGGGACTTGATGCTCCGGAAAGCTTTGTATGCGCTGATGGAGAAGGGGATAGAGAAGGAAGCACTGAAAAGACGCTGGAGATGGCAGCAAACTCAGCAGAACAAAGAGGTAGGAAATGTTGGGTGGAAATAGCTCGTTACCAAAGCTGCCTAATGCCTGTGGGAAGAAACTGTCTCCTGGGGCCTATTCCCCATAAAATCCTGAAAGTTGAGAAAAATGCAGTTAATAGCACAGGGTAAGTGCCTTCCGAAGCAGCCAGGGGAATTGAGGTGGGAAAGATAAGACTTAGGGACAGGAGAGCTAACATTGTGCTTTGCACCCGATCATTGCTCCATAGCCTTTTGTGTCATTGATAGGATCATTCCAGGAGCTAGGTTGAAATCTTTCTTTTTCTCCTTCCTTTCTTTCTTCATTCTATTAAGGCTATACACATTTTTTTAAAGATTTATTTAATATTATTTTTGTTGGGAAGTTGGATATACAGAGAGGTGGAGAGACAGAGAGGAAGATCTTCCATCCACTGATTCACTCCACAAGTGGCTGCAGTAGCTTGAACTAAGCTGATTCTAAACCAAGAGCCAGGAGCTTCTTCCAGATTTCCCAAGCAGGTGCAGGGTCCCAAGGCCTTGGGCCATCCTGCTTTTCCAGGCCATTAGCAGGGAGCTGCATGGGAAGCTGGGCTGCTAGGATTAGAACTGGTGCCCATATGGGATCCTGGCATGTACAAGGCAAGGACTTTAGCCACTAGGCTACTGTGCTGGGCCCCAAAGCTATACAAATTTTTAAGGACTTTCATCTTCAGCCCTTACAAATATGTTAAATGCTTAAAAGCTTTTTTTGATTTATTTTAGCTCCTTTATTTTTTTTTAAGATTTATTTTTATTCAAAAGTCAGATTTACAGAGAAAGGAGCTGAGCCGATCTGAAGCCAGGAGCCTCTTCCGGGTCTCCCACGCAGGTGCAGGGTCCCAAGGTTTTTGTCTGTCCTCTGCTACTTTCCCAAGTCATAAGCAGGGTACTCGAAGGTTCACAGAGCAGGCAGAATTAGAATCAGTGCCCCTATGGGATCCCAACGATTACAAGGTGAGGACTTTATAGTCACTAGGCTACCACACCAAGACCAAAAATAAATAAATAAATCTTTTTTTAAAAATGAATAAAAGTAAAGGATAAACTTACTAGGGCCAGTACAGTGGTGTAACAGGCCAATCTTCCACCTGAAGCGCTATCATCTGATATGATCACTGGCTTGGGTCCTAGCTGTTCCACTTTTGATCCAGCGCTTTGCTTATAACCTGGGAAAGCAGTGAAGGATGGGCCAAAGAAGCTCCTGGCTTCCAGCTGGCTCACCTTTGGCCATTTTGGTCATTTGGGGAGTGAACAGAGGATGGAAGATTTCTCTGTGTCTCTCTTTCTCTGTAAGATCTGCCTTTCAAACTAAAACCAATAACTCTTTTAAAAATATATATTGGTTGATTGGTTTGAAAAACAAGTTTAACAAAGAGAGAGAGAGGATATGTTCATGTCATGGTTTCCTCTGCAAATGGCCACAACAGCTGAGGCTGGGCCAGGTTGAAGTCAAGAGGTTAGAATTGCATCTGGGTCTCCAATGTAGGTGGCAGGAACCCAAGCACCTGGGCCATCACCTGATACCTTCCTGGTTGTGTTTGCAGGGAGCTGGATCAGAAGCAGAGAAGCCAGCACTCAAACTGGTGTGTCAGCATGGTATGCAAGCATATCAAGCTGCAGCTTAACCAGTTATGCCACAATGCCTACTCTCACAATTATTATTTTGAAGAGAAGTTAGATTATGATGTTACTTAGCCAGGAGATACCAAAAGTTATGTTCTTGGTCAGTTGCCCCTTCTCTTAAAATTTCAAGTGGGAATTTATGTATAGAAAATAATGCTTAGTGCAGGAGCAATCATTTTACTGCTTTGGCTCAGCACCATGAAAGCTCCATGCTGGCAATGTGGCCTGTATACATGTCTTTGCTTAGACATTCATAGGCGTGTGCCCTGCCTTTGGAGTGGGTGTGAGAACAGGGAGTGATGCTCTAAGGAGATTTCTTTCAATTCTGTAGTTCCAAACACCAAACAAAAGTAGATTTGATTTTTGGGGGACCGCCTTGATGGTATTAGAATTTTGGAAAAGCCAAATAACATTTGCTTTCATGTTTAAGCTGGAAGTATACACCACCTAGTGGCTGTGTGCATTAAAACAGGAAGCCGATAGAGACCAGAGGAAGGTGCAAACGACCTTCTGGATGTGCCTCTCACAGTGACCACAGTATCTCATATAAAACCTGTGCATTGTTCTTTATGTTTAATCAAAATGAAACTTGTTTTAGCATTTTAAAAATTGAAATCACTCATAGTTTTGCCTTAAAAAAAAACTATTGCAGCAATATAGGCACTGAGCATGCTACCGTAAGACAGGATCTTAGGCTTTAAGAATAGTAGGAGGAAATGGATATAAGGGCATGGTTGCAACAAAGTGTAACAGGTATGGCCGCCTCTGTAATAAAGGGCCTGCTTGGCAGTTGGGGAGGTAGGGCCTAAAGGAATGAGTGGGTGATCTACCAGGCAGATTTAGGAAAGACTTTCATAGAAGAATAGAACATTGAATTGCATCCTACAAGCTGAAAAATTGTTTAATAGGTGGGTAGGGAGTGGGCTGCCACATGCAGAAGTTGAGAGATATGAAAGAGTGTGGTAGGTGGGCTTTGGCTTTGTGGTTAAGACAGTGGTACTTTGTATTCGCATGCTGGTGGATTTTGACTCCTAACTCCAGCTTCCTACTAATGCAGACCCTAAGAGCTTGCACTGATGGCTGAAATAACTGAAATCACCCACATGGGAGACCTGGATTATATTCCTAACTCCTGACTTTAGCCCTCACCCAGCTCTAACCTTGTGGACATTTGAGGAGTAGGTGGGAACTCTGGGTCTAGGTCTGTCCCTCAAATAAGTAAACAAAATTTTTAAAAGAGTGTTTTGGTAGAGACAGGAGTCCCATTTTGATTGTGTGTACAGAATAGAGGTAGCATGGACAGGTGGCAGCCTTCAGTATGCAGCTGGATATATAAATATAACAATTCAAAGGGCTAGAGAGGAAGAGTTGAGTCATAAGCACATAGTTGGTAGTGGATGGGATTATCATGGCAGAAGTCACCAAAAGGGAATCAAAGCTAAAATAATTGCCACAATACCAATATTTTGGGGAGGGTAGGCAGAATTCAGAGCAGTAAGTGGAAGTAGTGTTATGGAAGCTAAAGGAAAATATGTCTAAACTGGAAAATAAGGGACCAACATTTTGTCTCAGAGTATTAGCTGCTGCTGGTTTGAATCTCAGCTGTTCCTTTTCCAATCCAGCTACTTTGTAATGTGCCTTGGAAGCAGTGGAAGATGGCCAAGTGCTTGGGCCCTGCCACCTTTGTGGGATGCCCGTTGTAGTTAATACTCTTTGTGGTTCCTGGCTTCAGCCTGGCCCAGCTCTGACTATTGCGGTATTTGAGGAGTGAACCAGCAGTTGTTAAGGAGTCTCTCCTTGTGTCTCACTGTCTGTCTCTTTGCCTTTCAAATAAAATAAATAAATCTTTTAAAAGATTATTAAATTAACCAGAAAATAAATCGCATGGAATCTATGAATGATAACCCAAGAAAAGAGTATATTTTGCAGTTAGAAGATCACTTTTTCCCCTTTGCTAGAGTCAGTTAAATAAAGTGGTATATGAGAGGGTAGGGAAGTAGGTAGAGGACAAAAACAGAAGTCAGATTATAATGGGTCAAAAATAATAGAAGACAGAGAAATATGAGAGAGTGTCTCTCCCTCTCTGTTTTCAAGAAGCACCCCATCTCCCGGATCCCTCCCGGGAGGTGCTTTCCCCTTCCTTCCTTTCACACTCACCTGTTCACTTCACAATTAAAACTTCTCTGTCTGGAGAAAAAAATAAAAGAAAAGGAAAAGAAAGGGAAAAGAAAAAGAAATATGAGAAAGATCACAGATTATTCTTTTATGGATCTTGACTGTGAAAGGGAGAAAGAGAGTTGTCTTTGTGGAACAGTTCTGAACCAAGGACTGAGAGATCAGAGTCAGGGAACAATGAGTGAGTTGGAATCGGTGTTACCTCTCATTTGCTTGATGTCCCTTTCCTGTTTGTCACACAGTCAGGACTGGTATACACAGAGGATGAATGGCAAAAGGAATGGAATGAACTGATCAAACTTGCCTCAAGTGAACCCCGAATGCATCTAGGTACCAATGGAGCCAACTGTGGTGGGTAAGTATGCTGAAGTCAGGGAGAAGGAGGTAATCTTTACAGAGCCCTTATTGCATTGTGGAAGCGCCACTGTCTAGTCCTCTAAACCCCAACGTTTAGAGGACTCTGTGCTGAGAGGGTGTTAAAAGAAGAGCCATAAAAATAATAAAAATAAAATCTTAAAAAAAAAAGAAGAAGAGCCATGACGAGGAGCAGAAGTGTTAACAGCATTCTGCTTTAGAGCTTTGCAAATTGTCCATTATTATTGGAATACAGAGTGTAGGGTGTAAAATGATAGAAGCTGGGAATCCACATTTTTGTGGGCTGCGAAATAGTAACCATATCTTAGCCAGACTTTTAGAAACTGTAGGACATATGACCCAGTATCTTGAAGAAGTGAAATCTAAGAAAAATAAAAAGGAAAAAGGAACCTATACATTTAAATGCACTTGAAACAACCAATGGAAATATGTGGGCATTTATAAGACAGTTGGGGAGAGGTAAACCATATCTGTTCGATTATTGTTGGTTTTTAAGTGTGACATTGATGACATTAAAGTTAAGGAAGGAGTCCTTTATTTATTTATTTTTGGAACATAATTGAAATATTCATGGGCAAAAATATATAACATCTAGAATTTGCTTCAAGATAATCCAGTGGGATGGGGATAGGGGTTGTTGGGAAACAGATTGAGGTGTAGTTGAAACAGGATTCATCATGTGTTTATAGCTGCTGGAGCTGGGTTGTGGAGATGTGAGAGCTTAATTTAATGTGGTTAATAGGCTTAAAATTTTGAAATCTAACATAATGGAAGGTTAAAATTATAACCTGCCCAAACTTTTTGGCATATATAAGAATAATTTGGGAGAATTATATAAAATGTGTATTTCTGGACTTCTGTTCCAGGAAAGTCCAGTTGAGTTGGGGTGAGATAAATCCCAGAAATCTGTAACAAGCATCCGTTGTCAAACAGCATCGCCTGAGGGCCTGGGGAACCACTGAATTTTGAGTGTGAGCATAACAGGACCAAATGTGCCTGAATGGGCACTAGAACAGGTGGTAAAGTGGAGGACAGTGAGGCTAGAGTAAACTGTAGAGGTCAGGAAAGAGCGCCAATGATGTGAATAGGGTGGTGGATTGAAGATAGGCCAGAGGATTCCTAGGAGATGGAATTTATGAGGCCAGGGATTAATGGTGAGATTAAGGTGAAAGATCAAAAACAATATATATTGAACAAATATTTGGTTAGGCAACTGGGTGTTTGTAAGGCTATTCTTTAAATAAAGGGCTATAAGAAGGGGTTTTTTTGGTAAAATAGTGTGGTACAGGGATGTTTATGGTGGGTGCGCAGGATGAGGGTGCACAGCTGTAGGCTGCTGTGTAGGCTATTGCATAAGGAGACTTGCATAAAGAGGTTGTTGAGCAGCAGGGTGATTGTTGAGAGATGGGATTACCTCCAGACTCCTAACACAGTGTTCAACCCAGAGTCTTCTCCCCATCTGTGAAGTAGAACGGGAAGTCATGGTAGCATAAAATAATCATCTGTATTAGTGGCAGGAGAGGGCATTGGTCTTCCCTACTCGAACACCTGGTCTCCAGAGGTCTCTTGTTTTATTGTCCTTTCCCCACCCCCTTCCCTGCCCCTGCATCCTTTCATTCTCTTCCCTCCTGCACCTCCAGGGCGGAGAGTTCAGAGGAGCCAGTATATGAGAGCCTAGAAGAGTTCCACGTCTTTGTCCTCGCTCATGTGTTAAGGAGACCCATAGTCGTCGTGGCAGACACCATGCTGAGGGACTCTGGAGGGGAAGGTGAGCAGCTTTATTCACAGAGCCCTGGACCAGGTGGGGGGGGGGCAGGAAAGGAGATGCATCGGCCCTTGGAAGGAAGAAGAAGAAAAGGATGTAAAGTAGAACAATGCAAACTTCTCAGATTCCGAGCAAAGCAGTTACAGTTCATTGATCAGGTTTATAGGAGGAAATTGTTCAATAAGTTGCAAAGAAGAGGGACTCCAGTGGCAGAATGGAATGGAGTGACTGTCTCTTAGGCCAGCACACTGCCTCAATAACAACCTTCATGGTTTCCTGCAGCATTTGCTCCCATCCCCTTTGGAGGAATCTATCTGCCCTTGGAAGTCCCAGCCAGCCAGTGTCACCGCTCTCCTCTGGTGCTCGCCTATGATCAGGCCCACTTCTCTGCACTTGTGTCCATGGAACAGAAGGAGAATGCCAAGGAACAAGGTACTGAATGAAGTGTCTGTCCCTGGTATCTTTTGGGCTGTGTTATTTATACTTGGAAAAGTAGAAATGAGGAGTAATTTTGGAGGAATTAAAACACATAGAAGTCTAGACAGTACATATTGACACTCTTTTACTAAAGATATACCAGGATTTTAAAATTTAAAAGAAAAAATCCTTGGGAAAACAGCCTACATTTCCTTTCTGAATACAGTAGGAGCTTATGTGTTAAGGTCATAGGCCCTTCTAGTGATGCTTTGCTGTGTTTGTCTCTCTGTAAACCGGAGTTATATAGAGAGAAAAATCTGCCATTTCCTGGGTCACTTCCCTAAATGGCTGCAATGGCTGGGCTGGGTCAGGCCCTAGGCAAGAGCCTAGAACTCTATCGTGGTCTTCCACATGGGTGGCAGGGACTCAAATACGTGGACCATCTTCTGGTTTCTCAGCTGCATCAGCAGGGAGCTGGATCAGAAGTGAAAGAGTGGGGGTTCCTAACTGATCCCCTGTATGGGGTGCTGGCATTGCAGGTGCCAGTTTAACCTATATGCTTTGTGGCCCCGTCTTAACAATAGCTTTGAAATCTCTGACTACACCTAACCAGCAAGAACAGGCCTACATTGTGTAGACTAACTTTTTAAAGTGTTTGTTTGAGAGGGAGGGAGCCAGAGAGAGATGTCTGTTACGTTCAGAAGCACTCAGACTAGCTTGAGAGAAAGAGAGAGGCTTTTAGTACAGGCAAAGGATTTTATTAGAGTAGAGTCTGACAGACTGCTTCCTGGCGGAAACTGGCCTGGGACCGCTTCCACATGGCGGGGTAACTGTGAGGGAAATGGTTGCCAGCACCAGGCTTTATATATCTTAGGTACAAGGGATAGGAGAAGGTGGCAGCTCCTCAGTTTGCGCATGTGTGTGATGCATAACACAAGATACTCATCATGGCAAGTGCTGATCTTTTGCACAGAAATAAGGTCAGGGTGATTTGGCATTCCAAACATTGCTCAATGGAAGTGTCTGCTTCACAGGTTGGTCATCAGTGAGTTGCTTCTGCACTATCCAGTTTAACACTGCCATCTTCTGATTCGCTCACCAAATGTCTGCAGTGGTGGGTTGGGTTGGGCCTTAGCTGGAAACTCAATCCAGGTCTGCTACGTGGGTGACAGGAACTGCTTGAGCCGTCAGTGCTGCCTCCCTAGGGTCTGCATTAGCAGGAAGCTGGAGGCAGGAGCAGAGGCGGGCATCACATTCAGATCTGAGACCAGTGTCCTAACTACTGGGCAAAACTTCCACCCCTGCCTGTTGGATTTTAGTGCTAGGGGTAATTCAAGTGGAAGTGCCTACAATGGATTTGAGACCATGGCATGGTTTTAGTGAAGTCATTCTATGCTCAGCTGCCGTTTTTCCTCAAGGAGACTCACTGATGGCATGTTTCTCCCTTCTCAGCTGTGATCCCACTTATGGACTCAGAGCACAAGCTGCTGCCCTTGCACTTTGCTGTGGACCCTGGAAAAGGCTGGGAGTGGGGCAAAGATGAAAGTGACAATGCCCGACCGGCCAGGTGAGGCAGGCCTACCTTTTCCATCTACCTCGTGGCTGGGATATCCCCTACACACATCTGTCCGCCGGGGAGTTTTCTTCAACTCAGAGGCAAATCAGTCACATCCCAACTTCGGCAACTTTGGGAACTAGAGGGATCAAAAATAGGTTAGGTATTAAGACTCTAGTGTTATGCAGCTGCATTTTCTCCTTCCAAAAGAGAAAGGAGATGCTGGGCTCTCACCTTGTTTTTGTATGACAACAGGAAGTTTGTTCCTGCACTGACACATCCCAGAATCCCCCAAACAGTGATCAGATTAAAAAAAATCACACTTCTTATTGCCCAAGTGAGAGGGATTTTACATAGTTAACTCAAATAGTTGGCTCTAGGTTTTCACATTCTGGAATTTAAATAGGCAGCAAGAAGAAGTTCCCTCCCAGCCACCCTTTTTCCATCCACTTCCCTGTAGCCTACACAGCCTTCTCCTGTCTCCCTCCAGCTCCCCAGGGAGAGCTTATGAACGAAATAGCTCTTCCTTTTCTGGGCCCCTGCAGCTGGGCCCTAGCCGAGAGCTTGGTTTAAAAATTCAGTGTTCAGGGCCCAGAGCAGTAGCCTAGCGGCTGAAGTCCTTGCCTGGCAGGCACCAGGATGCCACGTGGCCACTAGTTCTAATCCCAGCAGCCGTGCTTCTCATCCAGTGTTCATAGCTTTTTTAAAAATTAGTTCACACTAACTCGTCAAAGCTTCCTTTTAAATACTTATGGCTACTGTTTAATGTTCAGATACTGTGCTGATGAGCCCCTTTTTAACAACCTTTGTTGTTGTTCTCAACAACCTTTCTCAACAGCCCTTTCCCAGCAACCCTGTAGCATAGATACTATTATGCGTGCCTATTGTCAACCCCGGATGAACCGCAGAGAGGTTGCAGTGACTTGCTCAAGGTCATAAAGCAGCTCACTGATGGGCAGAGCTGCAGTTCAAGCCCAGCCAGGCTTGACTACCAGGCCACATAGTCCTCACCCACCCTTCTAGCTGTGTTTTTAGAAGGTCATAGTAGGTTTTTAAGTGTTTTTTTTTTTCTTTTCCACAGTGTGAGTCTGTCACTAGAGGTCAAACTGCACCTGTTGCATAGCTACATGAATGTGAAGTGGATCCCCCTATCCTCCGACTCACAGGTGAAGACTTCTCCCGTCACTCTGCCTATGTGTGTTCTTTGTGGAGACACAGAGAGCTCGCTGGTCCAGTGGTACCTTCTGAATCCACTGTATACTAGCTTCAGCCTTGCTCTGCTTTCTGATACTAAAACACATTGTTTAAAGGATGTTTCCTGGACTTTTTTTTGAGATTGTCATTATTTTGTCCCTGGCCCTCTATAGTTACACCTTTGTTTGTGATGCCAGAAGGAGCTAGGTGAGCTCAGAGTTCCGGAGCATGGGAGTTCTGAGCTACAGCAGAAAGAGAGGCAGAAGGACAGATTGGTCAACTGCAGTACTGAATGTAGGAAAGCTTGTGGCGTGATAGTGGTCAGAGCTGGTTCTTTGAGAAATGCTTGGACAGCTAGGGCTTAGAGAGATTTATAATAAAGGATATCATCATGTCCGTAAAACCTCTTCCGTCCTCACCCCAGAGTACGGCCAGCAGCAGTCGGGCTTCATTTCTTTAAAAACATAGGCATTGTTTTTAAAGATTGATTTATTTATTTTTATTGGAAAATAAGATATACAGACAGGAGGAGAGACAGAGAGGAAGATCATATGTCTGTTGATTCACTCCCCAAGTGACTCCAACAGCTGAAGCTGATCTGAAGCCAGGAGCCAGGAGCTCTTTCAGGTTCTCCCACATGGGTGCATTTCTCAAGGCTTTGGGCTGTCCTCGACTGCTTTCCCAGTCCACAAGCAGGGAGCTGGATGGGAAGCAAGGCTGTTGGGGTTAGAACTGGCACCCATATGGGATCCTGGCATGTTCAAGGCGAGGACTTTAGCCGCTAGGCTACCATGCTGAGCCTGTTAGGTTTCATTTTGATATGTCCTTGTTACAGAGGGGAGTCAATTGTGGCAGGTGGGATAAACATCAGGTGCATCTTGGCCTGTGGACTTGCTGAAAAGCACCATGGGAGACTAGCTCCCGCTTCTGTGACCCTTTCCTGGACTTAAATAGTCACCCATTAAAAAAATGGATGGTGGGCTGTTCTTACTGTTTCTTGCTTGGCAACAGGTGCCAAGAGCCCAGTGAGCTCCTGGGTGGCCCAAAGACCCCTGGGCTCTCAGCAAGATCCAGACCCATGGGAGAACTGTCAACAGCACTGCTCTTCTCTCTTGCAGGCACCTCTGGCCCAGCCTGAGTCCCCCACGGCCTCAGCTGGAGATGAACCTCGCTCTACTCCCGAGTCTGGCGAGTCAGACAAGGAGTCTGTTGGCAGCAGTTCTACCAGCAACGAGGGCAGCCGGCGGAAGGACAAGGCAAAACGGGATCGGGAGAAGGACAAGAAGCGAGCAGATTCTGTGGCGAACAAGCTGGGCAGCTTTGGCAAAACTTTGGGCAGCAAGCTCAAGAAGAACATGGGAGGCCTGATGCACAGCAAGGGTTCTAAGCCTGCAGGGGTGGCAGCAGGGCCAGGGGTGAGCAGTGGCACTGAGACACTGGAGAAGAAGAAGAAAAGCTCACTGAAGAGCTGGAAGGGCGGCAAAGAGGAGGCGGCAGGGGATGGGCCCGTGGCAGAGAAGCCCACGTCCGAGTCTGCTGGGAATGGGGGCAGCAAGTACAGCCAGGAGGTGATGCAAAGCCTGAGCATCATGAGGATCGCGATGCAAGGGGAGGGGAAGTTCATCTTTGCCGGAACCCTGAAGATGGGTCACCGTCACCAGTACCAGGAGGAGATGATACAGCGCTACCTTGCCGATGCTGAGGAGAGGTTCCTGGCAGAGCAGAAACAGAAGGAAGCAGAGAGGAAGATCATGAATGGAGGGGTCGTGAGTGGGCCTCCTCCAGCCAAAAAGCCCGAGCCAGAAGGTGGGGAGGAGCAGCTGCCTGCCCCTCCTGCAGAGCCCAAGGCAGTGGCATTCTCTACTGGCTCCCCAGGGGGCTTCACCATCCCCAGGCCTTCTGGGGGTGGAGTCCACTGCCAGGAGCCCCGGAGGCAGCTGGCAGGGGGCCCATGTGGGGGTAGCCTGCCACCATATGCCACCTTCCCCAGACAGTGCCCTGCAGGGCGGCCCTATCCACACCAGGACATCATCCCTTCTCTGGAACCAGGCAGTCACTCCAAGGATGCAGTTCACAGGGGTGCATTGTTACCACCTGCCTACCGCGTGGCTGATTCCTATAGCAATGGTTACAGGGAGCCCCCGGAGCCAGATGGATGGGCCACAGGTCCCCAGGGACTCCCCCCAACCCAGACCAAATGCAAACAGCCGAACTGCAGCTTCTACGGACACCCTGAGACAAACAACTTCTGCTCCTGCTGTTACAGGGAAGAACTGAGGAGGAGGGAACGGGAGCCACCTGGGGAGCTGCTGGTGCACAGGTTCTGAGTGGGCAGGACCCTGGAGAGCGAGGGGGCTAAACAAAGAAAGTTAAACTCAATTAACTGGCTCATCTAGACCTAGCCTCCGTATTGAAGTGGGCAAACGCAGTAACTTCTTGGGAGCCTGGTCAGAAACCTTTAAGTGTGTGGTACACATTGGAGTGGTGCCACGTTAGCAAGCGCAGGTCAGGGCTAGCCACTGCCTCAAGGGCTGGACTGTTCCCTGACAGAGTACCTGGGGGAACTTGATGGAACCTGGGGGTCTCATGGAGAGAAAGATGGTGCTTCTGTCTGGTAAACAACTGAGTACCACCTCATGACCTAAGGGAAAGTAGTAGGGGAAGGTTTGGTGTGCTGGGGTGGGAGGTGGGCAGGAGCCTGGGAGAGGAACAGGGAAAGGAAGTCCTCAGTAAGTAAAACAAAAAACAGACCAAAGTTCTTCTAGGTTGGAACAAAAGCACATGGTGGCGGAGCTGGGAGTGTGGAGGGAAACTGAGGAAAGGCACAAATTTACTGTTGATTTGAATTAAGGTAGAGATTGAGGGTTGGATAAATTTCTTCCTCCCAAAAGATCTGGAAAGATAAGGAAGAGGGATAGTTTCAACCCCAGCTTCGTGAGATGGCAAAGGGAGCAACTTAGACGGGGCATCCTTTTCCTCTTCAGTTTTACTTTCTTCTAAACAATTCTGTCATCTTGTGTAGTTTGAGAGGTAGTTGCTGGCTGCCCCCTGTTTGCCTTTTATGTTATGAGGGCTGAGCTCAGCTAAGTTAGGAAAGTTTGATTTTCCTTTTTTAAGAAAGACTTTAATTTTATTTAAAAAAAAAAAAATCCCTCTGAGAACAGAACAAGTGAGAACAGAGTAGCTGTGTGTGTTGCATTTTTGCCGGGTGAATCACTCAGAGGTGATCTTTTTTACTACTTAACAATAACCATATGCGAGGGTCAGCTACGCCTTGGGAGGGGTTACAGGAAGGACACACATTTGGCCAGACTGTTTCAAACAAAACCAAAAACCTAAGCAGAGCACTTCCATCTGTTGCTGCTGTGTTTCTGTAGGAAGCAATTTACATTATTGACTTTTTGTTTTAAAGGAAAAGACCCAACGATCAAAAACATTATATATATAAATATATATATAATTTTTTTTTCCTATTTAAGTGATTCTTTCTCCTTCCTCTGTACTTTTGGAGAATGAATTTAACATCCCGGCTTCTTTTGTTAAGCCATAGTTGACCTTAATCTGTGGTTAGTTTATTAAAATAATAATAAAATACTTTGTAAGAAGAGATATTTTTGATATTAGGACTGATGTTAAAACATGGGGTGAGGGTTAGGGGCAATTTATAAAAAGATAGTTAGAGAAATCTATTTTAGTGAACTCTAACCACAGATCACAGATTCCTCCCAGTGAGCTGGTTTGTCCCTGGATCACTCCCTCCCACTGCCTCACGCTGTCCTTGGCCACTGGAGTGGGGGTGTGGACACAGTAGGGAGAGCGCCTTTGCATTTTGCACAAAGCACAAGTCTGGCCAGCCTCTGCTCTGGCCAGAGCCGTTTCTAAGAGCTTTAAACCAGAAGACCTGTCCTGGGCCAATTTTCTTTTTTCTTCTTTTTTTGGGGGGTGGGGGGAGGGTTGGGGGATGGTAAGAATCAACTATGCAATTGTATACACTCTTGGGTGCATATGAAGAAGGAAAATAAGTGTACTTAAGTGTCCAGAGTGTAAATTGGGGTTGTTTTTGTGCTTTTGGATTTCTCCCTTGAGGTTTATGTTCAGGAGCCCTATAACATTCCCATGGAATGGAATTCCCACATTTGATCCAAGGCAGACGTGGTGGAGGGAGGGGAGTGGGTTGTTGAAGGGCCTCTTGTTCGCATGTATTCCTTCTTCTTCTTGGGAGAGTTGCCGTCCTCGCTCCCCTTCAGGAACAAAGCTCACCAAGCCTTTTCTCCATGTTGGAACTGCTCACAGGTTAGCAACAGTCCTTGGGACAAGCCTGAAAGTCACCTACTTTCCAAATCTGAGGCTGGTTTGATCATTTCCTATTCACTCTTAGGCTTTAATTTGAAAATAGATTGGTTTTAAGGAAGCAATGCTACTCCACAAGAAGGATGTTTGTGTTTTGGGGCAGGACTAAAACCTGGGAGACAAAGCACTCCCCTTAAGTGCAAAATGTTGCTGGGTACTCAGTAATTCAGATGAGTCCTTTTTTTTTTTTTTTTAATGCAGTGTTGTTTTTAAAATGTTACTGCAAAAATCCATGTTGAGCAAAATATCAAAATCAAAGGCAGAATCTGACAGGACCACGATGAGTGAATCAGAATTGAACCAATATAGGAATAAATTCTATCTTTCTGTGAGTTGTTGATTTATTGTTCATCATAGATTTGTTTGCCATAATCTACTCTTCTACAATATTGTATTAAAATAATGTTCATCTTGGGGACTGGGGTTCTGGTCTCCAGTTAAATGACATGTGCAAGGTGAGTGCTTTGCTCACCTCGCCCTAGTCCGGTCCCTGGTTCTGGGGATTGAACAAGACTAGTGAGGCCATCATACATGGGCTCCTCACATGCCCCTCCCAACAGGCTCTCAAACTGCACCCCAAACTTGCACAATTCTGGCTTTCCCGTAGACTTCTTGTATCTTAGGACGCTGGCCTGAACCAGTAGGAATGGAAACAGACCAAGGTTTTCCCCAGAGAATAAAACCAGGAAATTTTAAATTCTCCAGTTGCCTGCTGTGTTTGGATTTGATGTGTTAGTGACTTTCCAGTTAATACTTTTGTTTTTAAAATCTGAGGACAAGTGAACAAAAACAGAAATTTTGTATCATGCTTGTTTTTGTTTATAAATTATTCAATCCCAAGTATTTTTCACCCTCTTTTCAGAGAAAGAAAAAAAGATGGAAATTGGAGGGAGCAGTCTAAGGATGAATATTGCTAAATTAGGGCTTTATGTTCTATAGCTTTTTATTAAGAAATAAATTTTCACTTGGGAAGATAACTTTATTGAGGCATTGAAAATTCCCTTCTAAGGATGAAGGGCCCTGGGGTGCTGGCTGTTTTTCTAGGGGATTCTAAAGTGTGTTGTGCTTTATTTTTGTGGGGAGGTGTTGGGTGGGAAGGAGGTGGTAGTTGTACAATGCCTGGAAAATGAAGACATGGACAAGGATGGGTTTGTGGTGTTTGGGGAAGGTAATGTGGTAGAAGAGGCAAACGGGCAGTTACTGTGCTGGGGAGGGGTGGGACATGCACTCAAGATGAACAAAACCTTCATAGTTGCAAAAGGGTATGAGTGAAAGGGGTAACCCTGTAGCCCTTGATGAACCACGACATCATCTCAGGCTTAAACTGAAGTGCACTTAGTTCCTTTCATCCAGGGCATCTGGGGTACCTACTGAACTTTAACAGCAGGGTTGTTCCAGGCTTCTGACCCCTTTGATTTTAAGCGATGCTACCCTTCTTGCATTCTCTCTCCCATCCGCAAGGAAGCAGACATGCTGTGGGATATGCCTCCAACTCATTCCCTTAACCTGTGCTGGTTAAGAAGTTTTTCATGCCATTTTTTAAATAAAATGATTATATCAAGAAATTAAAGGGAAAATATTTCAAAAAAAAATTATCTGAGGAACCAGCGTTGTGGCATAGCAAGTAAACCTGCCACACCTGTGATGGTTGCCTCCCATGTGGGCACAGTGAGTTCTGGCTACTGCACTTCTGATCCAGCTCTCTGCTAATGTGGCTGGTGAAAGAGCAGAGGATGGCTTAAGTCCTTGGGCCCCTGCCACCTATGTGGGAGACCTGGGTGCAGGAGACCTGTCTCTTGCCTTTGGCCTGGGAAATGAACCAGCAGATGGAAGATTTCTCTGCCTCTCCCTCTTTATGTCACTCTACCTATCAAATGGAACAGTAATAAAAATGTCTTGTTTCTGTCTGCTGATTCACCCTCCAAATTGTCACAAAAGCTGGGGGTGGGCCAGTCCCTAATGAGGAGAAGTCAGACACTATTCTGGTCTTTGATGCAGGCATCAGGGTCCCAAGTACTTGCGACCTTCTTCCACTGCTTTCCCAAGTTGTATTAACAGGGAGCTGGCTTTGGAAGCAGAGCATCTGGGACTCAATCTGGTGCTGCAATTTGGGATGCTGACATGGCAAGTGGTGGCTTAACTTACTGAACAACATTTGCCCCTGTCAGTAATTTTTATAGGAGTTGTTGGATTTCCTTAAGGAGTGGGGATGGTGTGAAACGCAGTGCTGTGCAGGTCCTTGAACAGAGGGGTCTTTTCCCTCTCCTGCTGGGAAGTCCACAGAACAATCAAACAGCAGTGACTCCAGTGACTCCCTGTATGGGAGAAGAAGGCCAGAGGAATGCAGCTGGCCTAGGGTGACTGCTGACAAGCGGGGTCTTGCTGTTCCTGCTGCTTTGAACGAGTGTAGGGTTCTAGTCACAGGTTTTTTTTTGTTTTTTTTTTTTTCTAAATACTACAGCATTTCAGAATGTCCTGGAGTTACCTGGCTACCTCTGTACTCGGTCTTCTTCTCCAGGGAGGCAGTGTCCCAGACACAGCCACGGATGAAGAGACAGAATTAGAAGCCCCTTCCTGGCCTGCAGTCACCTGCACTCCAAATTTTCCTCATTTTTTTTTCTCTCCCTCCAGGCCCTTCAACTGCAGTTGGTGAGTCATGCAGACTCTCTCTTCGCAGAAAGCAGTCTGCAAATAACCAGGGTGTTTGGTTCCCTCCACTCAAGTTGATTAACAAGATATTTATTAGGAGGGCTCCATTTAGACTTGCCCGTGCCACCTTCCAATATAGGCCACGTGCTTAAGGGCCAACTTTTCAGAAAAGAGCAGGGGGGTGGGGCTGGCTGGCAGCAGAGTGGGGGTGGGAAGGACCTTGGCCTGTTTCTGTGCTTATAACTGGCTGCGTGACTCATCTCGTGAGTCACTGTGCTCCACCTCCTTCCTCCAGTTGCCCCTCCCAGCAGCTGCACTCCAGGCACAAACCTGCTAGCCGACCAGGATTCTGGAAATGGAAAAATCTGATGCAGTCTCTGGCCTCTCCACCCTTCCTCTCCTGCAGTCACCTGCTAGCTGTGTTTGGGTGCAGTGAGAGGTAGTCTTCCTGCTATTTAACCCTCAGCTGCTGCCCCCTCTGCATTCCTAGTTAGGTGCTGATCTCATTTCTTTATCCCTCAGATGGTATTCATTCCTCTGATACATTTTCTCTGTATTTCTCCCCTCTCTCATACCTCAAAGTATTAAAGAACGGAATGAGGCTCTTGAATGAAGGGTGGTAGGGAGAAGTAGTGGGGATAAAAGAATTGTACCACATTGGGAATACTTTCTTCTCCCAAGGACATAAAGCCTGTAGAAGGCAGGCAGGTGGGATGGGATGTGGTGCTTGGTATCCTTTAGCATTTCTTGAATTGGGCTTCTGGACTCCCTTCCTAGCAGGTGCATTCCTGTTTCAGACCGACTCCTTGTCTCGCAATATCTTCACTATTTCCACAGTTGCAGCCAAGACTGAAGTTTTAAAGCTGCAGCCGGAAGGGTGTGCGTGCTGCGGGGGAGGGGGAGACAGTTGTGTCACGTTGGAAAACTGGGGCCCCCACCTAAGGACTGCAGCCTCTGTACAGACTCGAAAACAATAAAACAGCAGCTCGTTAACTCTTTGTATTTTGTTTCCTGTCTTTTTCGTGCCTATATATAGATTTTTGCGTGGCTGCCCCCAAATCACCTTTAGCTACAATTCCCTTCCTCCCTCCTCTTGGGCGTCTTCCTCCCAAAGCCCATCTTTGCTTCTTAGGTTGCAGAGGGAGAAGGCTGGGGGTGGGACACTTTGGCTGAGGATTGGGTTCCAGTCCTTAGCTGGCGGGTCCTGAGCATGAATCATTCATTTGGAGATCTGGTGTCTGGGTTGCAGGGGTGGAGTCAGGTACCTGGCGTGGTGGTATCTGGGGATGGTGAGGGTCAGGGTTAACTGGAAAGATCTTTTCCTTGGACCTCCTACTGCCAAGACCTGCACAGAAACGTACCTGTGCACAAATCTGCATCCTGCACAACATCCCCGTGGCCCCTCACAGGAGGCTACTTTAAGGCTTTAAGGCTCTTGAGGGAAAGAATAACACTTTACACAGCCCCCTCCCCAGGTCCTGAACTCTGCAGACAAAAATCCCCAGGGGCCCAATTTCCATTTCTTTGCTTGCCCTTCACAAAAAGGAGGTCCTTGGCAGGCCTGAGCTCTGTCAGCACTCCCACCTCCCCAAAAACCCCTTTTGAAAACAGAAAGCTGAGCTGCTCTGGAAAGGTCCACTAGTTCTGCCAGCTTGATCAGTGTTACTGCTGCTCTTACACCGAGCTCTAATACCCAAGAACAAGAGAATTATCTCTGGGCCTGGAAGGGAGACGGGAGTCTGGGTGTCTATCTCCCAATTCCCCAGTTTTCCCCATCTTTTAAAGACTCCTCCATTTCCTCCCCACTTCTCCAAAACTGTGTGTCTTCTCCTTTAAGGGGCTGGGCATCTCTCCCGGCCTCTGGAATCGCCTAAAGAAGTTTCCGAGGAGCCTACTCGGGCTGGGGTGGACACACCTTTCAAAAGACCCCTGAAAGTATTTCGTGTACCTCAAATGCTCCTGCCTCGCGAGCCCTGCCCCACCCCCCCTTCCTCGCTGCCTTCTCGACTTCAGCGTTCAGCCTCTCCCCACCCGGGGCTGAGCATCCTTGAGGTCCCCCACCCTTAAAGGCTCTGTCCCCCGGATGGAGCCAGAGCAATGTGGTGGGGGGGCAGGGGCCAGAGTTTCAACATTGCCCCCCACAAGGAGGAGCCTGAGCTGGGGGTAAGGAGAAGGAATTGTAGGGGTGGGGGCTGGCCAGAGGGTGTGGAGGGGGATGAGGTGGAGGTCCTAGGAGGGAAGAACAGCATCTGGAGGGGAAGGAGGAGGAGGAGGAGGGTGTGTGTGTCATACCAACTTCGGATGATGAGGGCATGGTCTGCCCTTCTGGGTCTCAAGTTCGAGGCTCATTATCCATTAACCAGCCCCTCCCTACACTGCTTGTGGGCCCCAGGCCAGAGCTCCTGTAGACAGACACTGATCACACCGGAGAGGCTGAGTGTGGGCCTCTGGGGAGGTACTGGGTCCTTCTGGCCCTGTGGGGTCAGGATGCCTGGAGGATTAACCCTGCATCCTTTTCAGCTCTCCCGACCAAAGTCTGAGCAGGGCAGCAGGATGCCAGAGCTCCGGAGTCGTCGGCTGGGTGGATGCCTGGCTTCTGGATGCCTCCCAGGTAACCATACCCTTCCAGTACCTTTGATGTTCAGAGCTGCCTCCAGATTGCACCCCACCCAGCCTGGTTCTGTGTGCTTCCCCCCCGCCCCCACCCCCGCCCAGCGCCCCTGCCAAAACAAACCTGTGCCTTCATGCCTGGCTCCTGGTGCTTCTGCCCAAGGCTCACTCCCCCTCCATCTTCACCTGCCTTAGAACTCAGTCCTTGGGATCGGCTCGGTTTTCGTGGCCCTCTTACTCAGTGCTTTCCACATTTCCTTATGTAATAAATATTAGAGTACCTACTGCATGCCAGGCCCTGTTCTTGTTACAGAGGTAAGAGACTTCGATTTCTTCGTAAGCTGACATTGTGCTGAGGTTAGAGAAAGATTTTCTTTATGTAAAGTGTTTTAATTTTTTTAAAGATTTTTTTATTACAAAGTCAGATATACAGAGAGGAGGAAAGACAGAGAGGAAGATCTTCCATCCGATGATTCACTCCCCAAGTAACCACAACGGCTGAAACTGCGCTGATCCAAAGCCAGGAACCAGGAACCTCTTCCTGGTCTCCCACGCGGGTGCAGGGTCCCAAGGATCTGGGCCATCCTTGACTGCTTTCCCAAGCCACAAGCAGGGAGCTGGATGGAAGTAGAGCTGCCAGGATTAGAACCAGCGCCCACATGGGATCCCGGCGCATTTAAGGCGAGGACTTTAGCCACTAGGCCATGCCACCGGGCCCAAGTGTTTTGATTTTAAAAACAAAAACAAAAACAAAAAACTTATTTTGAGAGTTACAGAAAAAGAGAGAGAGGTTTTTCATCTTCTGGTTCACTCCCTAAGTGAGAGCAACAGCCAGCAGTGGGCCAAACCAAAGTTAAGAGCTTCTGCAGGGCTCCCACATGGGTGCAGGGGCCCAAAGACCCATGCTTTTCCATGCCACAAGCAGGGAGCTGGGTCAGAAGTGCAGCAGCCAGGAAACAATCAGTTCTTATAAGGGATGCCAGCCAGCATTGCAGATGGTGGTTTAGTGTGATAGGCCACATGTTAACCACTAGAGGGAGACTTTAATATTCCCTTTTGTCTCAGGAGCTGGTGTGCACTGAGCTGGTAGTAACCTGGCTCTTTCTCTTCCTAGGGGAGCAAATCCTAGCCTGGGCCCCAGGACTGAGAAAAGGGCTGGAACCTGAATTGCCTGGAACTTTGATCTGTACCAACTTTCGAGTCACCTTCCAGCCCCGTGGATGGCAGCGGAATCAGGTGAGACAACTGGAGCAACGTGAGTAGGGGAGTCTAGAGGGAAGTAGATCAACACGACGGCTTAAGGGCTGTCTTGTGAATGTAGCAGGGATGTTGGTTGGGGATTATCTCTACGGGGGTACCCTCAGTCGTCTGTAACATGTCATGTACCTCCAGGACACTCCCCTGAGCAGTGAATATGACTTTGCTCTGGTCAACATCGGGCGGTTAGATGCTGGTGAGTCTGAAGGTTGGGGGAAACAGCTCACTAAAGGGAGGGATGGAGGTGTGGGGCTGGAAGCTTCTCCTCTCCCCCTCATCTCAGAAAACTGCCAATGGTGGAAGGGGATGGGCTGGGGGATAGGCTGGAAGAGTTCCTCGGAGGGACCCTGACCCAAGGGCCCACTGCTTCCAGTGAGCGGTGGGTCCCGAGTCCAGCTCCTGCGGCCAGGGTCCCAGCTGAAGTTCATCCCTGACGAGCTTCTGATTCATGGCCGAGACTTCCGGCTGCTCAGAGTTGGCTTTGAGGCAGGAGGGCTGGAGCCACAAGCCTTTCAGGTAAGCTAACCCCAGGCTCCTTTAGTCTTTTCCTTAGAACCTTGACACTCTTTCCTTGGCCATTCCCAATTCTCTCGTCCCCCAAGCCCACCCTCAGGGCTCCCTTTCATCCTTCCCCCTGCTGCTTTCCTCAAAGAAAGATGAAAAGACAGGGAAATATGACAGTAGAGTGACAGGGAGGGGCCTGAACGCTAGCCTGGCTCTGTTGCTATGGACACTGCAGCTGTGGGTGAGCCTCCTCCTCCTCATGGGAGGGTTGGACTCTATCCCTCCTCGAATTCCCCTCAGAGTTGGTGGTTCCCGATTTGTTCTCCTGACCCCAGTCCAGTTACCACTTACGCCGCCCCTCCCCACCTTCTCTAGCTCCAAGCTTTTTGTTGACAGGCTCCATTCCTTTCTTTCACTTCAGTCTGAACCGAATGAATGCAATGGCCTTTCCTCCACAGGTGACCATGGCCATCGTTCAAGCCAGAGCTCAGAGCAGTCAAGGCCAACAATGTTTGGGGATAACACTGCGCAAGGCTTGTGAGTGAGGGTGCTCTAGGGGGAGCTCTGTGGTGGGGGGAGGGAGGAGACAGAGGCTGGTTGAAGACACATGAGCTGAGAAGCCTTCTTTCATTTTTTTACTGCTCCCTTGGCACCTCACACCTGCTCCAGGCCAGGGTTCTGAGTCGAAAAAACCCCCTGTTCCTCTCTTGGAGACACCAGAAGACTGGGAGTTGGAGCGGAAGCAGCAGGGGGCCAAAGGCTGGAGGGTTACCACGGTCAATGAGAGGTTCGATGTGGCTACCAGGTGAGCTCCTGGTTCACCCCCACCCCTGCTACCCTCCCAAGCTCCCCACAGTCCCAGATCCCTTACAGCTAGGACATCCCGCAAACTCCAGCCTACTGGGGCGTCCCCCTTGTCTCCCAGCCTGAGCTCCCTTGTCTTGGGTGCTCTAGAGCAGCTTTGCATTAGAATGTTTCCACAAGCCACACTGTGACATCACTCTCCATTTTACAGCCTTCCCCGTTACTTCTTGGTCCCTAATCGAGTTCTGGACAGTGAGGTCAGGAGAGCGTTTGGCCACTTCCACCAGGGCCGTGGACCGGTCAGTGTGAGGCTAAGGGTAACGACTGGGCATGAGGGAATCATGAGCGGTCAGGGGACAACATGGAGGGAGGGATATTCCCCACAAGGTAGTGTGGGGACATGGGTGGCGCGGGGCCAGGCATTTCTCCTCTAGTGACCATCTGTTCATCTGCCTGAAGCGCCTGTGCTGGCATCACCCTGGGGGCAGTGACCTCCTCCGCTGTGGAGGCTTCTATATGGCCAGCGACCCTAACAAAGAGGACATCAGGTGAGGGAAGGTCTGATGGGAGGCACCAGTTAGGTGATTAGGGAAGACTCTGCCCTTATTTTCTGGCTCCCTCCCATGCAGAACGGTGGAGTCAATGCTGCAGGCTGGCCATTCTGACGTTGTTTTGGTAGACACCACGGATGAGCTGCCTAGCCTCGCAGATATCCAGCTGGCCCACTTGAGACTCAGGGCCCTCTGCGTGCCTGGTGAGACTGAGCTCCGATGCCCGCCCCTCACCACAGCCCTCACCTGCTGATCCTGGCCTGGTTTGCCCTTTTGCCTGCTGTGTATGAGTTACTTTTCAGCCCAATGACCCTTAGCTTTCTGTTCAACTCCCATTTCCTCCTGGACTCACTGACTCTGTCTTCTTGGCCCAAACTTAGTTTTTTTTTTTTTTTTAATGACTTGGGCTATAGTACACATTCCACAAAATTCATTTTTCACCTTGCTTTAGTGTATAATTCAATGAGTTATATGTATATATATATATATATATATGACTTTTTTTTTTTATTGCAAAGTCAGATACATAGAGAGGAGGAGAGACAGAGAGGAAGATCTTCCATCTGGTGATTCACTCTCCAAGTGGCCATAATAGCCGGAGCTGCGCCAATCCAAAGCCAGGAACCTCCTCCAGGTCTCCCACTTGGGTGCAGGGTCCCAAGGCTTTGGGCCGTCCTCGACTGCTTTCCCAGGCCACAAGCGGGGAGCAGGATGGGAAGCAGAGCTGCCGGGATTAGAACCGGCGCCCATATGGGATCCTGGCACATGCAAGGCAAGGACTTTGGCCATTGAGCTACCACGCCGGGCCCTCAATGAATTATATTTACAGTGTTGTATAATCATCACAATTTAAATCTTGGAAATGTCATGGCCAGTTACAGTTACTTTTCATTCCTACTCTCAGTGCTAGGCAACCCCCACATGAGTTATTTATTTACTTGTTGTTATATTTTAAATATGTTAAAGGCAGGGATAGGGAGAGAAGGGTGAAAGGGGAGGAAGAGGGATGTCTTATTCACTCCTCAAATGCCGGGACAAAACAAAGAGCCTTGTGCTCTGTCTGAGTCTCCCATGTTGATGGCAGAGATCCAAGCGCTTGGGCCATCATCTGATGCCTTACCAGGTACATTACCAGGAAACTGGATCCAAAGCAGAGTTATCTGGCAAACAAACCAGTGCTTGTATACTGAATGCAAGCAGCAGTTTAATTTGTTGAGCACAACACCTGCCTCCTACCCAACTTATTTTTTACCCATGTAGCTGTAGACCTGAATCTTGCATTTTCATCTTTTTGCCCTTCTTATCCCTCTATTTGCTGTCAGATTCATCTGTAGCTGAGGATAAATGGCTGTCAGCCCTGGAGGGAACACGATGGTTGGACTATGTCAGGTATTCCCCACTTCTTAATTTATGATTCAACCTTTTCCAACTTTCTATTTACTTGGATTCTTGAATAGCCTTCCAATATGTCGTCTTGGTTCCCCCAGAAAGCTGTCATTTACTAGTTCTTGGAAGCAGGGGCAGGATTTTGCAGTCTGCCTCCATCCCATTGCCTGTTCCTATCTTTACCTAGGTTTATCAGTTCCCCCATCTTCCTAACCTGTTCCTTCCAGGTCTTGTCTTCGTAAGGCCAGTGACATCTCAGTCTTAGTGACATCCAGGGTTCGTTCTGTAGTACTTCAAGGTGAGTTCTTTGGGTCAGCCTCTTCCATTCCTTTTCTTTTTCTTTTACCCACTTGACTGGCTGTGGTCATGCAGAGAGACCCTTGGCTTCCTTTCCCCTTCTAGTGCTAGCATCTTCCTTTCCAGTTTCCTTTTCCTTTCCTGCTCATGAGCTCCAGTTCTCATCTTTCAGTGCTACCTTTGCTTTCACACTATTGCTTATGGACCCCAACATGATGGTGGTCTCAACTCTTCTGGGCCCATCCTTCCATCAGTGCATCAGTACTGGGGTGGGTTGGGGTGGGGTTGGGAAGAACAACAGACAAATTGATCTGGCCACTGTGGTTGTCTCACGTGTGTGAAACTGGGGATTTCTATTCAGGATGTCTATGAAGCGAATCATTCAAGATCATTGTTTTCTCTTCACTTTTATGTGCCCTCTCAATCCTACCTCTCCAAACTTATCCCTCTGTGCTCTCACTTCTTACCATGTGTCCTTTTTCTCCCTCCCTCTTGTCCTAGCTTCTTGGACCTTCCTTCTTTCTTCCATCTCTTCTTCCTCTTTATCACCCAGAGCGCGGTGATCGTGATCTCAATGGCCTCCTCTCTTCACTCGTCCAGCTGCTTGCAGCCCCTGAAGCCCGAACACTGTTTGGCTTCCAATCACTAGTCCAGCGAGAGTGGGTGGCAGCTGGACACCCCTTCTTGACCCGGCTTGGAGGAACCGGGGCCAACGATGAGGTGAGAATAATTTAGAAGTGTTTTAGGTGTTGTAGGGGAGTATTACCAAAGAGTTAAGGGGATGAGAGGATTAGACAGGGGAATCCACTGGGAGTAAACTGCCTCCCAATGGTCCTGAGGTTGGTTAAGCTCGAGGGACTAGCATGCATGGAGCTCATAACACCCTGTAGTCTCAGTTCGTATTTTCATCTCTTGACCTTCTTAACATCAATCATTCCTGTGCCCCCCTCATTCCTGTACCCCCCATCCTCCAACATGTTGCCTTCCTCCCTCTTACGGTCCCCTACCGTGCTTCCAATCTCTTCTTTTCCCTTCCCAGGCTCCAGTGTTTCTCCTCTTCCTTGACTGTGTCTGGCAGCTCCTCCAGCAGTTTCCAGCTGAGTTTGAATTCTCGGAGTTCTTCCTTCTTGCTCTTCATGACAGTGTCAGGGTTCCTGACACCCTTACTTTCCTGAGAAATACTCCCTGGGAGCGTGGAAAGCAGGGTGCACAGGTCAGTGGCCTCCATTTTTCATTTGTCCTCTTTTTTTTTTTTTTAAGATTTATTTATTTATATGGTAAATTCAGAATTGCAGAGAGAATGAGAGACACAGAGAAAGATCTTCCATCCACTGGTTCACTCCCTAAGTGGCCGTAATGGCCAGAGCTGAGCTAATTCAAGGCTAGGAGCCAGGAACTTCTTTTGGATTTCCCACATGGATGCAGGGTCCCAAGGCTTTGGGCAGTCCTTCAGAAGGGAGCTAGAATCAAAGTGGAGCAGTTGGGACAAGAACCAGCACCTACATGGGATCTGGGTACATGCAAGGAAAGGACTTTAGTCACTAGGCTACCGTGCTGGTCCCCCTCTTTTTTTCTTGTTGAGAACAACTTTTGAAGTTTAGTCCCAATATATTTCATGAGAAGTGATTCCCAGGATAAGAGGTTAGAACTTCATGCTTTGTCTCTAGAGTAGGGAGAATTATTTTTTTTTACTAATCATACTTTTCTTGCTTCCTCTGTCCAGTTTAACTCCTACACACAAGCCCAGCCTCCAGCTGGGAGTTCCCTGAACCTGCAACTGTCTGTCTGGGACTGGGATTTACGCTACAGTAATGAACAAATACTACAGTTCCACAATCCAGGCTATAACCCAAAGCACGGGCCTGATTCTTGGTTTCCTAGACAACAGGTGAGATATCTGACTTCATCGATCCTTTTTTCCACAGGCTTATGCTGCTATATGAGAAGCGGAGACATGCGAAGTTACCTCACTTTTCTCCTACAGCTGTCACTCGAGTCTGACTTTTCCGGAAAGACAGTGTCTTAGAAATAGCACAGAGGGTTATCATCTATATTTATTTAAGTTTATTGGTCTTTCCTTCATGTGTGTACATTTCATAAGTTGCCTTAAATCAACTTTAATTTGTCCTGAGCCCTAGTTGAAGCCTAATGAGAGTCCTAAGGGGCAGACTTGTGGCTCTGGTTTTTAGTGCAATCTATAGGTCCCAGGCTGAGGTAGTCTGATTTGTCAGTTGCCAATTAATTTCCCTTTCCCCTTTAGCCAAGCTTCCTGACTCCTGGACCTCCCAGTTCCGTGTGGCTGTTTTCTAAAGGGTCCCTGAGCCCCCTGCACCAGCTCTGTCCCTGGCGGGAGAGTCCCTCTCTGCTGGCAGTCTCTTCCCGTTGGCTCCCCCGATCTGCCGTTTCCTCCGAAAGCCTGGCTGACCAAGAGTGGGGGCTCCCCTCACACTGGGGAGTTTACCCTTTACCTCCGGGACTGCTGCTGCCAGGCTCTCTGGGACCCCAGATCAGGCTCTGGAGACGCTGCTACCTGAGGGGCAGGCCTGAGGCCCAGGTGAGAATACAGGGACTGGGAGTGGGAGAAGGGGCATGACAACTGAACAGGCAGGGGCTGGGAGGGCTGGGAAGTGAAGTACCATTGGGGGAAACTGCTAGAAGCTTATATTAAGTCTCATTTAGGGCGCATTTAGAAGGAGGAAAGAGACATCAGAAAGAGTGGGCAGATTTTATAGAGGGCTAGAGCTGCAATAATGTGCTTCTCTGCCCCTATCTGCATCCCTCCCAGGTGGGCCACTCAGCTCTCACAATCTCTGGCCTCCAAGATGAGCTAGCCCATCTTCAGGACCTGTTAAAGAAATGGACACCAAGAACATTTCCTGATGATCACTCCAAGAAGCTGGATCCAAATACCATTCTCTCCCATTCGTGTTGAAATTGCTGGCATTCCCAAAGGCAGAGCAGAGATGTCTGGATGGAGGAAGGGTTCTAATACTTAAGTGTTTTGTATACGGATGGCCTTGTTGCTTTCACACTCCAGCTCTTGGATAAACTCAGTAGACCTGAGTTTGTTGCAGACGGTGGTGCTAATCTTCAATTCGTATCCTGTCTTTCATTTGGGTCCTGAAGATAAACCTAACACTCCACAATATAATTGCTTTATAGATAGCCAGCTGTCAAGTCTTCCCCCAGAGATGCTGTTCATTAGTTCCAACTATACAGCCTTAAGACCTCATTCTCACTCTGACTTGCTGCTTATTTAATTCCAACCTCTATTTCATTCCAGATAGGATCTTTTGGAGATAGAGTGGGTATGCAACACACCCATTCCTCTAACTGTAAAATTTTTGTAGTGGCATTTCTATTTAAATTCATTAAAGCACAATATTTATACATTTTGGTAGCACTGATTCTTGGGTTTGGATGAAGGATCCTAAATAGCAAAGACTTACGGAAAGGCCTCCACCACACTATTTCTAAAAGAAGAATGGATATGGGCCATATGGTGTTTTAGAGAATTCTCCCATCTCCCACTTAGGAGCAGATGAGGCCGAAACATTCTGCCAGGGCCAGACTATCTCTTGGGTTGGAGCTGGGTCGGCCTGGGAGCTCAGGTTCTGCTCAAACTCCCACTCAGATATTACCTCAAGCCCAGGCCAACAGGCAGCAGGAAGCCAAGCAAGTTCCTTAGGTTGAGGAATTCCTGAAGACCCCTTTTTTTAGGTCATAAAAAGACTCTCTGGCTATATAATACATGAGACATTGGCCCAGCGTGGTAGCCTAGTGGCTAAAGTCCTCACCTTGCACGTGCCAGGATCCCATATGGGTATCAGTTTGCGTCCCGGCAGCCCCACTTCCCATTCAGCTCCCTGCTTGTGGCCTGGGAAAGCAGTCGAGGATGGCCCAAAGCCTTGCACCTGCGTGGGAGAACCGGAAGAAGCTCCTGGCTTCTTCAGATCTGCTCAGCTTACCAGCTGGGGCCACCGGGAGCGTGTGCGTGTGTGTGTGTGTGTGTGTGTTGGGGGCAGCTCTCTCCCGCAGCCTCGTGTGTGTGTGTGTGTGTGTGTGTGTGTTGGGGGCAGCTCTCTCCCGCAGCCTCGTGTGTGTGTGTGTGTGTTGGGGGCAGCTCTCTCCCGCAGCCTCGTGCGTGTGTGTGTTGGGGGGTAGCTCTCTCCCGCAGCCTCCCTGGCGCGCGTCCGTAGCTATCACCGGCCAGCCGCGGCTCGAACCCTGGGCCGCCCGAGGGGAGACCGCCTCAGGGGGTCAGGCTGCAGCTAACCCGCAGAGCCACACACCCGGAACCCGGGGGCGGACGGGCCGCCCTACTTCGAGAGGGTGGAGCCCGCTCGCCCTGCCCTCCTCGCTAGGCCCGCTGGCTGCGGAACCGCGGCGCCGGACCAAAAACACCCGCCCTTCCGGACGCCGCTGCCGCGTCGGTCCGGACACCCCTAAGATGGCCGCGGCCCACTCCGGCCCCGTCAGAGCCCCGCCCGGCGCGCACGTCAGCCTTCGCCCCGGAAGTGGAAGTCGGGACTGAGGTCGGAGGGCGGAGCTGCTGCTGGGAGACGGCGGGCTCTTTTTCGCCATGGCTGCCGGGCCGATCTCGGAGCGCAACCAGGGTGACTGAGGCGGGAGACGAGTCGGGAGTGGGACCGGGCGGGTGGGAAACCTCAGCTAAGGCCGGGAACGTCTCCAGGGCGGGAGGCTGGAGCACGCTTCCCCGGAGCCAGGGCGGGAGCCGGGCCGCTGGGGGCGGGTTGGCGGCGCGCAGGCTGAGGCCCGCGGGTGGGGTGCTTCTCTCAGTCCTCTGTGCCCCCCGAGTGAGACCCGAGGTGCAGCGGAACGCCGCGTTCAGCCTCGGGAGGGCCTCGAGGGCTGCGGAGAGGGGGCACTGGAGGGCTTCCTCTGACCCCTCGCACCTCCCCCAGATGCGACCGTGTACGTGGGGGGCCTGGACGAGAAGGTCAGCGAGCCGCTGCTGTGGGAGCTGTTCCTGCAGGCAGGGCCGGTGGTCAACACCCACATGCCGAAGGACAGGGTCACGGGCCAGCACCAGGGTGAGTACCCGCCCGGCGCGCCTTCTCCCCGGGGCCCCCGAAACCCTTGTCTGTGGGAGCCTGTGTGGCCTGTCGTTTCTCTCCCGCTCTTCGCGATGGGCGGCTGGTTTTGAACAGCTTCCCTCCTGCTTCTCTTCTCGCCTAGGCTATGGCTTTGTGGAATTCCTGAGTGAGGAAGACGCCGACTACGCCATTAAGATCATGAACATGATCAAGCTCTACGGGAAGCCGATACGCGTGAACAAGGCCTCCGCGCACAACAAAAACCTGGACGTGGGGGCCAACATTTTCATCGGGAACCTGGACCCCGAGATTGACGAGAAGCTACTGTATGATACTTTCAGCGCCTTCGGGGTCATCTTGCAGACCCCCAAGATTATGCGGGACCCTGACACAGGCAATTCCAAGGGTTATGCCTTCATTAATTTCGCTTCATTTGATGCCTCGGATGCAGCCATTGAGGCCATGAACGGGCAGTACCTCTGTAACCGCCCCATCACCGTGTCTTACGCCTTCAAGAAGGACTCCAAGGGGGAGCGCCACGGCTCGGCCGCCGAGCGGCTCCTGGCCGCCCAGAACCCACTCTCGCAGGCCGACCGCCCGCATCAGCTGTTTGCAGATGCACCGCCTCCGCCCTCGGCCCCCAATCCTGTCGTGTCATCCTTGGGATCTGGGCTTCCTCCACCAGGTAAAGGACTGGGTTCTGAATGTGCTGGTTTGGGGAGGTAGAGTGAGAGCTAAAGAGAACCGGAAAAGGGAAGACTCTGAGGGAGGGAGGGGATGGGAGCGGTGGGGAAGAAAGCAGTTGGGTTTTTCCGGAGAGCTGGAAGAAAGCTGTGGGGTTTTTTTCCGGGGAGTCAAGTCTAACAGTGCTTTTAACCTTGGCATATAGGTATTAGGGGAAAAGAACTTACCCTACCTAGAGAGGTCAAACTGGGGTAAGCTCTTTAAGATTTATTTATTTGAAAGGCAGAGTCAGAGGGGAGAGAGTGATCTTCCATCCATTGGTTCGTATGACTGGAGCTCGACTGGTCTGAAGCCAGGAGCTTTTCCCGGGTCTCCCACACGGGTGCAGAGGCCCAAGGACTTGGGCCATCCTGTGCTGCTTTCTAAGGCTCGTTAGCAGGGAGCTGGATGGAAAGTGGAGCAGCTGGTTGAACCCACACACTTAGGGGATGCCAGCATCCCTGGCTAAACCAACCTCAGGGGAACGGGGACAGGTTCTTTCAAGGCATTCTCTGCCCACTGCCATTGATTTTTTTATTTTCTGTCTAGGCATGCCTCCTCCTGGCTCTTTCCCACCCCCTGTGCCACCTCCTGGAGCCCTTCCACCTGGGATACCCCCAGCCATGCCCCCTCCACCAATGCCCCCCGGGGCTGGAGGCCATGGCCCTCCTGCAGCAGGAACCCCGGGGGCTGGACATCCAGGACACGGACACTCACACCCTCACCCCTTCCCGCCGGGTGGGATGCCCCATCCAGGTAGGTGTTACTTGCTGGGAAAGGAAAGACTGACTGTCATACCTGTCACTGTTTTTTAGAAAGCTTTCTGCAAAGTAGCCTGTCCTTGCTCTTTTTGGCTTCCCTTCTCTCGGACTCTGCCCTGAAGGGGAGATGTAGGGGAGACTTTGTCTTCTCAGGCTGTTTGACCTCTGCTGTGTTTGAAACTTACCATGGCCTTCTGTCAAATTCTTGTCTCCCTTTTCATCTGTTTTTTATTTGATTCTCCACCCGACACCTCAGTTTCAATTTGATAGGTTCATCTTTCTGTGGGTCTACGGATTTTTGTTCCTGAGTCTTCTGCCTGTACCTGCTGGTCCACGGTTTCAGTGTTCAGGTGTCTTCTGGCTCTGTGTCTAGTCGATGGTTGCTAACAGTCCGGATCCATAGTCCTATTGCTTAGTAGCCAGATCCACTTTGTGTCTTCAAACCTATTCTTTTTTCATCAAAGAAAAAAAAATTAAGATTTATTTATTTGAAAGAGAGGGAGAGACTTTTTTTTTTAAGGATTTATGTAATTATTTCTTTGAAAGGCAGAGTTACAAAGATGAGACATCCTCATTTGTTGGTTCAGTAGCTGCATTGGTCAGGCCGGAGCCGGGAGCCTGCACCTGAGTGGCTCGTTTGGCTGTCATCATCTAACACTTTCCCAGGCATATTGGTAAGGCGTTGAAGTGGAGTACTCAGGACTTGAACTTACACTCTGGAGTCATCAGCACTTCCATGTGCTGTGCCACTGTGCTGGTTCCCCCCATCCCCCAGACCTGTTCTTCTAGTCTTTTCTATCTTTTTCCTATTTTAACATTTTTTATGAAAGGCTATAAAAATATCCAGAGAGGTGAATAAATATGATGCAGTGATATGTGTCCTAATGTGAAGAACTTTGTTTCACTGCATTCTTTTCCTTCACCATGGCCCTCAAATCACAGGAGGCAGTGATTCTGTGCCATTTCCTCCTCTTATTACGCACTGCAGATTTCTGGATCAGTACTCCACCCTTAGTCATCTCATTTATAAATCACATTCATTTGCAGTCCAGGACTTAGAGTATGTTTTGTTGTTTGATGAAGAAGACATTTTTGTTCATAACTGGATCCTAAAGGAAAGAGTCCGTTTCTTTCATTGTCAGCTCGTCTTGGTGTTGGAGTAACCTGTCCCTGCCTCGCATATTGCTCTCATTAGAATGGTTTTTGGCTTGCTCTTGGCGAAGGAGACAGTTGAGAGGAACACTTGGATGTGGAGGATTAGCCAGTTAAGCCGTCACACTGCCTCTTCTTTGTCTTTGTACTTTTCAGTTGCTTCATTCAGGAGCCTTCAAGCTGTGTATATTCTCTCAGCTCACTGCTTATACCTACTCTTATTTAGATTTTTGGTATCTGCCTCCACCTGCCAGTGCCCTTGTTATGGTAATCTCTTCCAATTTTGTCTTGAGTCCATTTTCACAAAATTTTTCTAACAAATATTAGGTACCATTTCTCAGAACTCTCATGCAGCTCCCCTTTACCTGAAGAGTAACCCCCGCCCCAGGCGCGTCACGGTAGCACGGAGGACTTCTCTGGATCTGCTGCTTGGCAGCATTGCCGTGGCTGTGGCTCCTGATGCCCGAGGCTTTTCCTGAGACATTCTGTGCTCTTTAACGCATCAGTGATTTGCACCTGCTAATCTTGTGGCCTGGGACTGATTGCTTCCATTTTCTCATCCTACTGGAACGTTCTTTGCCCGGGCAGTATGTCTGCTGCCTTGCTGTGTCCTATCAGTAATCACTTCAGTTGTTAGACTGTTGCAGTGCCTGGTCAGGGAAGGGAGCAGTGATGTGAGTGAGTTGACTGGGTCACTGGCTCCTTTGTACTGCAGTGGGGTCACCCTCCTCTTCCTGATGTCATTTTTTTTTCTCATACTGCTTTTTTCCTTCCATCTTTGCACTCTTTATGATTTTATTTTTGTCTTTCTCCTTGTATCTCTTTTATTTTCACAGGGATGTCTCAGATGCAGCTGGCCCACCATGGCCCTCATGGCTTAGGACACCCCCATGCTGGACCCCCTGGCTCTGGGGGACAGCCGCCACCACGACCCCCACCTGGGATGCCTCATCCTGGACCACCTCCAATGGGCATGCCCCCGAGAGGCCCTCCGTTTGGATCCCCCATGGGTAAGCAGGCTGTGGATTCCTCCCTCCTCTGCACAGCTAGCATTCTTATGGCTCTTTGTCACACCTAGTGTGCCATGCCTTTTCTTGTATTTCTTGGGTTTGGTCAGTTACCCATTGTCCTGCCACAGGTCTGCCAGCATTAAGTATCTCCTGTCACTCACTTTTATTAATTTGTCTTTCCCTTTTTGCAGGTCACCCGGGCCCTATGCCTCCACATGGTATGCGTGGACCTCCTCCGCTGATGCCCCCTCATGGGTACACTGGTCCCCCGAGACCCCCACCCTATGGCTACCAGCGGGGCCCCCTGCCGCCTCCCAGACCTACTCCCCGGCCTCCAGTTCCCCCTCGAGGCCCACTTCGGGGCCCTCTTCCTCAATAAATTCCCTTTCTTCTTCCTGTTATATTCTAGTACCTTTCCCACTCTTTGGACCAGTCAGAGCTGCCGTAGCTAATCCCTTTGAGTCCTCCCTTTTTAAAGTAACTTCTTCCCCACAGAACATTTTTTTCTTTTTTACGTTGGTCCTAACTGTTTTACAAATGCACATGGAAAATAAACCTGCACTTCTTGTTTATTCTTTGTGGTGTTATCCTTGGCAAGAAAAGATGTTGGGTATTGAGAGAAATGGTGAGGTGGGAATATGGGTATTCACAGCACACTTTAAAGGCTTCAGTGATGTGCTGAGGGATGGCTGAACTCTGTGCTGCAGCTGTTGTTTCTTTTTTTTTTAATAAAATTTTTATTTTAACATTCTTTACATAGTTAATTAGGGTAAGAAGGTTCAAGGGCTACAGGAAAGTGGATAATACTATTATGTTTTTCATATTGTTACCTTCATGTTTAAAGGGGGGTATTAAGGGAGAAGGCCCACCCAATTTCCCACCCTCCCCAGGACCCGGATGTAGGGCATGCTCTGAGGTTCTTGCTCAAGTGGTTTTGATATTGCAACAGTTATGAATTGCTGTCAATCTTGCCACTCCAAGCACTATGTGGTCTTTGGAAAATCCACTGATTGACATAGTCCACCGTAGCGGAGATGGTTGGTTGACCTGTTCTGTCTTCTCTCTTTTCTTCGTCAGGGTTCTGAGTCCAGCATTTAATTAGGAAGATCTCCAAAGAAACTTGTATGTGCTAACAAGTACAGGGCCTGGCACCGTCCATCGCTCCAATCAGTAGCTGTTGTTTCTTTACATAGAGCTTATCTCTAGTTCATGCCATAGGATCCCAGTGTCTCTAGCATAGGATTATTAAAGAGAGAAAAGAAGAAAGATGCCTAGAGATATATTGGCAAAAATACGAAGTAGAATGCACAAAGCTATTAATTGTAGCACAGTGTATAGTGAGAGGAGATTGGTAACAGGTTGAATAAACATACATCCACTCTGAGGGACTGCTGTGTGACCGGAGGAGGGAATGAGGAAGAGGTTTACAAACTTGTGATGTAGAAAAGTGTGTGCAGCGAGTATGTCTACTGTAAGTATAATCTATGTATGTGAGGCATCTGTGTGAATTGAAATCCATATGTGTGTACTTTTTTTAAGGATTTATTTATTTCTATCGGAAAGTCAGATTTACAGAGAGAAGGCAAGAGAGATGAAGATCTTCTGTTTGTTGTTTCACTCCCGAAGTGGCAGCAACTGTTGGAGCTGAGCTGATCCGGAGCCAGGAGCAAGAAGCTTTTTCCAGGTTTCCCACATGGATGCAGGGTCTCAAGGCTTTAGGGCGTCCTCGACAAGCAGGGAGATGGATGGGAAGTGGGGACGCTGGAACTAGAACTGGCACCCATATGGGATTCCCGGTGTATGCAAGGCGAGGACTGTAGCCAGTAGGATACCACGCTGAACCCACATTTTATTTATTTAAAAATTTATTTTTTTATTTGTATTTGAAAGAGTTACAGAGACAGATCTTCCATTTGCTGTTTCATTCCCCAATTAGCCACAATGGCTGGAGCTGGGCAGATCTAAAGTCAGGAGTTTCCTCTAGATCTGCCATGTGGGTACAGGGGCCCAAGGACTTGAGTCATCCTCCAGTGCTTTCCGAGATGAGACGAGATCAGGTGCGTTCAGGGTGGTATGGCCGTAGGCCAGTGCTTTCCCAGGTGCATTAGCAGGGAGCTGGATTGGAAGTGGAGCAGCCAGGACTTGAATGGTGTCCATATGGGATCCTGGCACTACAGGCAGAGGCTTATCCTATTATGCCACAATGCCAGGCCTGTGCACTTTGATTTAAAAAGTGGAATAATAAAGCAAAAGCTAATGCAAGGTGCCACTGTATAAGGAGGAAGGGAATTATGACAATGTAAATGTTAAATTCCTGGTCTTCACTACCAGACATTGTAAATAAGTAGTTGCTTCTTATTCCTATTTTTGTTTATTCTCGGTTGTTTGAAAGCTAATTTGTATCCCATTTGAATTTTGCACTGAAAGACTTCAGTAACTAGATCAAATTCAGGGGCCTCGGCCCTTTCTCAATCTTTGTTGTTGTTGTTGTTTTGTTTTAAACAACTTTAGTTCTTACACTAGCCAAGCCTGGAGCCTGCCTGCCTTGATGTCTTGTCACTCTCATTCCTTTAGCATTGTGTTGGTGCCCATAAGGCTCCATGCTGGTGGGAGCCCAGGATACGCAGCAGGAGGGACTGGTGTTAACGGCCAGTGACCCTTGTCCCAGCTGTCCTGCTTCTGACCTGGCTTCCTGCTAACTGGCATGTGGGGGCAGCACATGGTGCCTTAGGTCCTTGGGTCCCTGCCACCCACTTTGGAGACCTGGAGGACTTCTTGGATCCTGGCTTTATCCTGGCTGAACTTTGGCCATTAAAAGTAATGTAACAGATTGTTGTTTGGAAAAATATTTTGGCAGCATGAAGGAATATTTAGCATGGAAGTCCAGGAAAGCTTGCTGGGAAGAAAGTGACAGCTGAACTTAATCTTGAAGGGTCAGGTTTCGCAGGTGAAGTTCACGGGGTGGATTGGTGTTTCTAAGCAGAAATGGATTGAAAATAACGATGTATAATGCTCTAAAATGGGGTGGTGTTGGAGGCAGACAGGTCAGCCAGTTAGGGAGTGTTCATAGATGATAGCTTCTCCCCCTCTGACTTCATGGCACAGAATCCTTTAAAACATGGAGGTAAAGGGGGGAGACTACGGGCTGGAGGCTCAGCTCTCACTGCTGGCCTAGCTTGACATGCCTAGTAGATGCTCTGGCAACGGTGTTGAGGTAGACTGTGGTGAGAGATTCATGGGAAGATGGAGAGACGCAGGAACTACAAGCAGGGTTGTTTTTTTTTTTTTTTTTTTTTTAATTGGAAAGTCAGATACAGAGAAGAGAGACAGAGAAGATCTTCCATCCACTAGTTCACTGCCCAAGTGACCACAATGACTGGAGCTGAGTCAGTCTGAAGCCAGGAGCCTCTTTCGGGCCTCCCACATGGGTACAGGTCCTAAGGCTTTCAGCTGTCCTGCTTTCTCAGGCTACAAGAATGGAACTAGGTAGGAAGTGGGGCTGCCAGGACTGGAACCAGTGCTGATATGGGATCCTAATGCATGCAAGGTGAGGACTTTAGCTATTAGGCTACCGTGCCGGGCCCACCACAAGTGTTTAAATAGTAACATTGTAGGACTAACTTGCCTGAAATGATCATGATCAAGAGAATAAATAGAAGGTGAGAAGGGCCTAGAACTAAGAACCTGTGGACCTAACAGGCCTAGTTAACAAGCACCCGGGGGAAATAATTATTTTCTCTCAGAACTTAAAAGGGTTTCCTTCTAAGACTACAGGATTTTCTGTTTTAACATGTATTAATGGGAAGTATGTGAAGTCATCTTGAAGAAATGGCTGCTTCCCAGCAGGACTTGGCTATAGTCTAATTGAAATATTAACATTTAAATCAGGAACAGATCAACCAGAAGAGGGTCAACAAGAAAAACCTAGGAGAGGGAGAGTCCCTGACTACCCCATGGGCTAAGCTGTTCCAGGTACCATCCTGGAAAGCGTTATAGCTGGAGATTTTCAATCAGGCAGGAGTGCTGGCAAGGCTGCCCATGGCATGGAAGTGAGGACAGGGAGTTGCCAAGAAGACTTCGCTGGATCCTTTGGCACTGGGGGATGGCCAGATGCCATTGAAGGTATGGCTATCCTAGTTATGCTATTTTGCATTTAGACTCTGACATAATTCTGATTTGGCTGCAGGGAGAGAAAACAGGCTAGACATTAATTTTTAGTTTGAGTATACAGTAAAATTTTCATAATAAATTAGTACATTTTGTGACTATTTGAATAAATTGTGGATTTATTTGTACACGTGAGTGTTTCCATGATCCAGTTTTGGAGGCCACAAAGGCCAGACCCACATCTCAGCGCTGAATGCAACGTGGCAGATATCGCCTATGAGTTCTCCGGGGACACAGGCCAAACACTCTGAAACTTGCAAGGGAGTTAGGCGGGCTCACACACTGTTAGGTTTGAAAAGGAAAAGATGAAGCAGCTGGTCCAAGCTCCCCATTTCCCAGATAAGAAAACAGGCTCACAGGAGAGAGAAGTTAGGATGGGTGCATTTTGCACACGGGTTAGGTCACCATTTGAGATGCATGCATCCCATATTGGAACATCTCTGGTTGAGGCCTGGCTACTCCACTCACAAGCTGACTTCTGGAAGCAACCGGTGATGACTGAAGGATTTGGGTCCCTGCCACCCGTGTGGAAGAGCCAGATCGAGCTCTGGGCTCAGGCTTTGACCTGGCCCGGCCCTGGCCCAATGGGGAGTGAATCTGCAGGTGACGGATTGCACCCCACCTAGCTTCTCTCTGTCCTGCTAAGCAAATGAAATGCAAGCAAAATAAATTGTCAAAAATTGTTAAAAATAAAAATAAATAGTGGCCTGGATCAAGAGCTGACAGGTTGTTAGAAGTCTTAGGTCAGAGCCCCTGGTTATTCTCAATCCAGACTGTCTCGAGGCCAGCCGGAACAGACCCTTCAGGATGCGTATCCCCAAACCATCCTCTTCACCCCTGCCACCAGTCTTAGCTCTCCCAGAGGCAAAGGGAAAACTGAAAATATCTTTCTGCCTGCAAACACAGCGTGTGTGTGTGTGTGTGTGTGTGTGTGTGTGTGTGTGATGTGAAGGGTGTGAAGGGAAATGGGGAGGGGTTTGTGGGGATCCCTTTTGAGTCATAGGAGCAAATGTATGGAAGGGACAATTCCAGATCTGTAAAAAGCCCCTCAGCTTCTCCAAACCCCATCCCTGCTCCCACAGAGTGAATGGAGGCGGGGGTTTGGGCTTGTGGAGGAGAGAGATGGCAGGGATCCTGGAGTATCTGCCTCTGGCTTCTCAGGGCGGAAGCCACACCTTGTTATCCCTGCCATCTCAGAAACAGCCAGGTAAACGTGGAGCCTGAGCACTTTCCCCTGGGGAGGGGGCTGTGAGAAGGAGATTCGGTGAGGATCCGCGGGGCAGGAGACTGAGGTGTTTGGAAGAGAGCCGGGAGCCCCTAACCCTCCTGGGTTCTGCCCTCGCGGCAGGTCTTGGGCGCTCTGCAAAGGGACTGCCGTCTCGCCCTCTCATCTCCCTGCCTGCCTGCCCGCTGCTCCAGCTAGCATCACCGTGTCCTGCCTTTCCCGACTTCATCTTTGACTAGGAAAGGGCTGCGGAGCGCTGTTTGTCATTGTCAGCTGTTCCTGCGACAACCCCTCTCCAGCCCTTAAGCATTTCTCTGGGTCCATCCCTAGCCTCTTTTCCTCCGCTCCCCCACCCCAACAATGGTCTCTCCCGATGCTCAATGGCGCGGGTGGGGGTGGGGGCGGAGGCGGGGCCGAGGTGTGGGGGGGCAGGTCTGCATTGCCGCTTCCCCCGGCGCCCCGAGCAGTCCAGTCGCCGCGGCCGCCTCAGCCCGCCGCCAGGGACCCCCGCCCTCTCCCGGGACTCTGCTGGCCCGGGAAGCCCAGCCCAGGTGAGACCCCTCTCCCAGCCTCGCACCTCCACCCCGCCCTGTCAGAGGCATCCCTGGCTCGCCTTGCAGCCATTTTACCCGCTGATGCTTTGGGGAAGGTGACAGCTCCATGGGGGGTTTGGGATAGGGGATGTTTGGGGACTGGTTAAGGGTGGACGTTGATTTGAAGGGTTTTGCTGTTCAGGAGAAGACACGTATGTGTCTCTGTGTGTTTATGTGGATGTATATATACATATATGTCTAAGGTGAAATGGGAGGAAGGCGTGTTTTTTCTCCCTTAGCCAAGTCCCTATCCTCTTTGAAAATTAATGGGGTGGGGAGTTAGGTGGAATGGGGCCCCTTCAAACTCCAATTCTCCCTTCTGCTCATCCTTCCCTTTTCTGTCTACTCCCCCCCCCCCCCCCCCCCCCCCGTGGATGAATGATAAATGACCTTGGCTTTGGCTGGAGCATGGCTGCTGTTCAGTCTGCTGGCCTTCCGAGGTGGCTGGGGGGCAGTGGAGCATGCAGCCAAGGGGGCTGAGCAAGAGTGGGCAAGGCGTGTGCAGACCAAGGCCTGGGGGCACAGATGAGGGGAGCTGGAGGGGGTGCACTCTGGGGAAGGGAAGGTGGGTGCTGGGCTCATGTTAGGGACCGGTCCTCAGTACCAGAGTGGAGACGAGATGGCTGGGGTGGGGAGGGGTGGGGTGGGCATTGCGAGGGCTGGGTCTGTGTCCATGCCTGCTCGGGTCTCCCCACAGCCCTGCCTCCACTCTGCCTGTCTCCCCCTGTGCCTTCTCAGCTGACACCTTCATTTTTGCCTTCCATTTTCCTAACCCTGGGGTAGGCTTGGGGGGAGGGTGGGGAAGGATGGCGGCAAGCAGAGAAGCAGTCTGCTGTTCCAAGGGTGGGGGCTGTAATTGGGAGGGGGCCCGGTACACCCCCTCCCCCATCCACCTCCCGGATGTGTGGTGATCGCTCTTGTTGACCTTGTCACTGGTCTAGGTATCAGGTGACCCTCCAAGATATGGGCTTTGGCAAGATGGGGGGGGAAGGTGTTTAGGACCGTCTCCCCCAGGGCTGAGCAGGTGGTCCTGAAGGGAAGTGTTTGCTCAGGGCTGCCCGCCCCCTCTGCAGAGAATCTCCTGGGCACGCTGTTCTGGTCAGTGAAGGCAATCAGCCTTAAAGGGCTGTGTAACCCTCCAGCTTGTCCCCTCTAACCTCCAGCTCCCCAGGTCTCATCTCTCTCCCGCAAAGCTTCGCCACCCTTGTGCTGCTTTGGGGGCTAAAAATAGCAGGACGTCCTCACCCATTGGAAGAATTTATCTTCCTTCTCTCCCTCCTGGGCTTGTCGAGATCCTGGGGGTGGGGGTGGGGAGTGGCCAAGTGTCCGTCCATGCCCTGCGGTGGCTGGGGGAGCCCACACTACCCTACCCCTGATGTGTACCTTTCCACGTCAATAACACTGGGGGAGGGGGGCTCCCTCAGGGCCTGAGGGGGGAGATCCCGGCTGGGAAAGAAAAGCAAGGCAAGCTGACTGCCACACACACAGAGGAGATGCCACAGCGCCTGTGCTGGTGGGGCCCTCAACTATGAACACAGGAAGGTGAGCCAGGGGTCGCTGCTCTGGGCACTGTGGTCCACTGCTTACATTTGTCCTGGGTGGCAGGGGGAAATGGGGGTGGGGGAGAAGGCTCTGCTTGCTAATGTTGTGTGGAAGCCCACAGCATTCTTTACCCTCTTCTGTCAGGCTCTGTGTGTGTGTGTGACACTATGATGTTTCAGGGGGATGATTCCTCATCGGGATCTGGGCTGCCTCTTCTTTCTTTGGGGAAAGGTGGGGTTCCCGCAAGCCCCCTCCTGAACACTGTCTTTTGTTAGGGAGGGGAAGGCCAAGGCCCCCTTCATTCCATGCCAGCCTCCTGCGCAATGCAGAACTTGTGGACTCCTCTGCCTACACTGCTGGAGGAGCAGAAAGGATCAAGAAGGATTAAGCAAAGGGTCCTGGAGGCAAGAAGTACAACTATGGACCTTAGACCCTCACGGTGCAATATGAGTTTGACCATATCTCTGTTTGAAAGGGAGAGGAGGGAGAAAGACCATCTGTTGGTTCACTCCCCACCAGGCACAGCAGCCAGGCTGCAAGCTGAAAGCCAGGAGCCAGGAACTCCATCTGGGTCTCCCACATGGTTGGCAGTGACCCAAGCACTTGGGCCATCCTCTGCTACCTTCCCAGGTGCACTGGCAGTGAGCTGGATCAGAAGCCAAGGATCCAGGACTTAATTGGCACAATGCTATAAACTGCTGGCACCTGAGTGGGAGCTTAACCCTGCCCCACAGTGCCCACCCCAGGGCTATTACCCCAAAGCTGGCAACACTAGGTGGCTCATGAGGGGGTAGAGGGCATCTCACTGTATCACTGCCACCAAAAGGCAGTGTGGCTGAGGTCTGTTCAATTTATTTATTTATTTATTTATGATTTATATATTTTTATTGGAAAGTCAGATATACAGAGAGGAGGAGAGATAGAAAGATCATCCATCCACTGATTCACTCCCCAAGTGACCACAATGGCCAGAGCTGAGCTGATCCAAAGCCAGGAGCCAGGAACTTCTTCCAGATCTCCCACAAGGGTGTAGTGTCCCAAGGCTTTGGGCCGTCCTCGACTGCTTTCCCAGGCCACAAGCAGGGAGCTGGATAGGAAGTGGAGCTGCCTGGATTAGAAGCAGTGCCCCCATGGACTCCTGAAAGGCGAGAATTTAGTGTTCTTCTTTCTGTGTGCCAGGTTTGGCAGAAAGGGGTTAATGCACATGGTGTGCCCTCATCTTTCCTTTCCCCTTTTTAAGTAAGGGGAAACCAAGACTGGCGTGCCCTTAAGCAAGCCTGTGGCCTCTTAGCTAGGAAATCCCGAACCCAAGGCCGTCCAGCCCACAAGCATGCTTTTATCTGCTAGGCTGTGTTAGGAGAACATCCCTCCGTGGTTGTCCTGGACACAGGGGAGCTGAGCAAAGGGCAGTTCGAGTCCAGCCTTCAGAGGCTGGCTGTGGACTGAGGACAGCGGTGGGAGGGCCATGTCTCCTGCTGCACATCTTCCCCGAGCGCTCCCCCCAGCACGCTACCCAGACCAGACTAGCATGATCACAGGGGAATTCTGGTTCCTGTTTTGTTTTGTTTTTGCAGATTGGTGACAAGGCCAGGGATGTGGGCAGAGTTAGGGAATGGGCTCAGGGTGGTGTGGTGTGACTCTGACAATTCCTTTCTTTAAAAAGATTTATTTATTTATTTTTAATTGAAAAGTCAGAATTACAGAGGGTAGGAGAGTCAGACAGAAGGATCTTCTGTCCCCTGGTTCACTCCCCAAGTGGTTGCAATGATTGGAGCTGAGCCAATCGGAGGGCAGGATCCAGGAGTTTTTTCCAGATTTCTCACGCAGAGTCCTAAGGGTTTGGGCCATTCTTGACTGCTTTCCCAGGTCACAAGCTGGGAGCTGGAAGGGGAGGTGGAGCAGCAGGGGCAAGAACTGAAGCTCATATGGGATCCCAGCAGATGCAAGGCGAGGACTTTAGCCACTAGGCTACAGTGTTGGGCTTGTGGCAGTTCCCATAGGTGTAGTTCCCAACGTCAAAGGAAGGGGGACTCACAGGAAAATGACCCCTGGTGACCCAGAAAGTCATCTGTATTTACTGAGTTGGTGGGAACAGGCTGAAGCCATGAGGACATCCTTGTGCTACGTGGGCCAAGGGGGCTTGTGGATGAGAGCGGGTTGGCCTGGGCCTTATTTACCATCTCAGGATACCAAGCTTCCCCTTTTTGGCTTTTCCCCTAGGTCGTTTGAAGCTCCTTGGAGAGAAGTAAACGGCCAGTGCTGGCTGCCTGGCTTAGCCCACCAGCCTTGCTCCTCTGGCCCTGCCCACTGCCCCACTCCTCCAAGCCCTTCCCCATCCACTCTGCTGAACGTGGAGCCCAGCGAAGCTCTTCCCTTTCCCCTTCCAGAGACTGGTTGGCCGCGTGGGTTGGTCTCCCCTTAGTCCCTACCCAGAGACGCTGGAGTGCATTGCCTCTAAGTGACTGCAGGGAGGGGTCTTTCAGAAAGCTGCCAGCAGGAGCAGAGGGGAGGGGAGCCCCACCATGGAGGAGGGCTTCCGGGACCGCGCGGCTTTCATCCGTGGAGCCAAAGACATCGCCAAGGAGGTCAAGAAGCACGCAGCCAAGAAGGTGGTGAAGGGCCTGGATAGGGTCCAGGACGAGTATTCCCGCCGCTCCTACTCCCGCTTCGAGGAGGAGGAGGACGACGACGACTTCCCTGCCCCCGCGGACGGCTACTACCGGGGAGAGGGAGCCCAGGATGAGGAGGAAGGCGGAGCCTCCAGCGACGCCACTGAGGGCCACGATGAGGATGATGAGATCTACGAGGGCGAATACCAGGGCATCCCCCGGGCAGAGTCTGGGGGCAAAGGCGAGCGGCTGGCGGACGGGGCCCCGCTGGCTGGAGGGAGGGGAGGCCTGAGTGACGGGGCCGGCCCCCCTGCGGGCCGAGGGGAGGCCCAGCGGCGCAAGGAGCGAGAGGAGCTGGCCCAGCAGTATGAAACCATCCTGCGGGAGTGTGGCCACGGACGCTTCCAGTGGACCCTCTATTTCGTGCTCGGACTGGCGCTGATGGCTGACGGCGTGGAGATCTTTGTGGTGGGCTTCGTGCTGCCCAGTGCTGAGAAGGACATGTGCCTGTCTGACTCCAACAAGGGCATGCTGGGTAAGACCCCTTGGGGGCACTCCAGGCCTGTCCTGCCAACACCCCTGCTCCTGACCTTCCCATTGAGCTCCCAACAAGGCAGGCTCTGCACACCCTCCCTAGACACTGCCCATCCCAGCCCCTGCCCTGACATACCCTGTTCTTGGGGTTGGGCTACAGGAAAAGTGCATCTAACCGAGGCGGTGGTGAGGCCGGACTAGTGTTTGGGTGGTGGTCGGCCCCATCCTGCAGGGAATGGCTCTGGTGGGATGTGTCACTGCTAAGGTTTCTTCAGCACCTTCCCCCCTGCTCCTTTTCTCTCCCTGGTGTAAGTTGGGAGGGTCTGTCTGGCAGAGGTAGGGAAGGCACCCTGCACCCTGCCGTCCCTCAGACTTGGGAGTGTCCAGGGGCCGGGGAGTGCTCTTTGAAGTGGAAAACCTATAGACTCACCGAGAAGGGACCAAGGCCTTGCTCGGCCTCCAAATTGTTGAGGGATTTTGAACAGGTCTCTTGTCTTTGGGGCTTGACTTGGGCATGGATAAAATGCAAAATTTGCAGTAGGTAATTTTAGAGATCAGTTTTAAGTCCTGTTTTCTTCAGGAAGTAAGAAGCCAGAGAATTTTTTTAAGATTGGAAGTATTGGGAAAGGAGGAAAGCATGGGCTTGGCTGCAGTGGTGGTGGAGGTTTGGGGCATTTCTCAGGGAGATAGAAGGAATTTGGGCCCAGGAGAGCCGGGCTGGGGTATATGGTGGTGGCGGTAGTGGTCGGGAGGTGTGTATGGATAAGGGAGAGACAGAGGACAGAGAGAGAAATAAGGGGGAGATGGACAATAATCCTGGGGCTTGCTCCTCTGTTCTTGCCTGGCATATACCCCTGGATTCCCTGCAGAGGTAATTTCCCATCTTTGCTTCTCTCATTTTTTGAAGATTTGATTGTTTATTTGGAAGTCAGAGGTACACAGAAAGAAGAGGGGAGAGAAGGAGAGAGAGAGAGAGAGAGAGAGATACGTTCTAACCTCTGTTTCATTTCCCACAATGGCTGGGGCTGGCCAGGCTGACGCCAGGAGCCCAGAGCCTCCAGGTCTCCCACGTGGGTACAGAGCTCAAGCACATGGGCCATGCTCAGCTGCTCTCCCAGCTGCATTAGCAGGAAGCGAATCGGGAAGTGGAGCAGCCAGGACTGTGATGTCAGCATCACAGGTGGTGGCTTTGCCGGCTTTGCCACAGCCCTGGTCCCACTCACTAGCTCTGCCCTCCGGGGGGGACTTAGCTTCTAGAAGGTCTTGGGAGCTTCGATTGCAGTTTTAGCCCCTGTGGCCTGAGCTGTGGGTCTCCTGGGAGATCTGAGGTGGGTCTGTTCATATCCCTCCCTCTTCTCTCCGTTCCTTCCAGGCCTCATTGTGTACCTGGGCATGATGGTGGGAGCCTTCTTCTGGGGTGGCCTGGCGGATCGGCTGGGCCGTAGACAGTGTCTGCTCATCTCGCTCTCAGTCAACAGCGTCTTTGCCTTCTTCTCGTCTTTTGTCCAGGGTTATGGCACTTTCCTCTTCTGCCGCCTGCTTTCCGGGGTTGGGTGAGTGGCCAGCCTCCCAAGCAAACTAGTGTGCCTTGGCCATGGTAGTATCTTTAGGGCCTTGTGTGGTGCTGGGCACACCAGATGTACCTAAATGTGTGTGTGTGGAATGAAGGAATGAACTCCACCCATCTTTCCCGCTCAGGACCTGTTCAGGACCTGTTCGCTGCTGTCCAGCATGCTGGTCCCTTGCTGGGCCCCTCCCAGCTGCTCCACCACTTCCAGCTCTTCTCTGAGCCTTCCTCCCCAAGGAGGCTGCTGGGTGCCTGTGGACTGTAGCTTCCCTGCTCCTAGCGTCAGCAAAGTCCCTGCTTGTGGCTTGAGCCCTGCAAATCCCCAAAAGAGCCAGAGGGCTTGTGTGGCAGTGGCCTCTCCCCTTGCCCAGGCAGCGGCAGGCACCCACTTCATCCCATGTCCAGTCTGCCTCTTGCCTTGTTCTGTAACACCTGGCTTCAGATTGCTCTTTGCCCCTCTCTTCACGCCAACCTGGAGCTTTCCCTCTTTTTTTTTTTTTTTTTTTTTTAAGATTTATTTATTTTGGGCCCTGCGGCATGGCCTAGAGGTTAAAGTCCTCGCCTCGAACGCAACGGGATCCCATATGGGCGCCGGTTCTAATCCTAGCAGCTCTACTTCCCATCCAGCTCCCTGCTTGTGGCCTGGGAAAGCAGTCGAGGATGGCCCAAAGCTTTGGGACCCTGCACCCATGTGGGAGACCCAGAAGAAGTTCCTGGATCCTGGCTTCAGACCGGCATAGTACTGGCCGTTGTGCTCACCTAGGGAGTGAATCATCGGACGGAAGATCTTCCTCTCTGTCTTTCCTCCTCTCTGTATATCTGACTTTCCAATAAAAATAAATGAATCTTTTTTTTTAAAAGATTTATTTATTTATTGGAAAGTCAGATTCACAGACAGAAGGAGAGACAGAGATCTTCCATCTCTGGTTCACTCCCCAAATGGCTGCAAGAGCTGCAGCTGGACCAGGCCAAGGCCATGAGCCTGGAGCAGAGGTCTAGGACTAGAACAATCTTCTGGTGCTTCCCCAGGCCATAAGCAGGGAGCCGGATGGGAAGTGGAGCAGCCAGGACTTGAACCAGCACCCATATGGGATGTCGGCACAACAGGTGGAGGCTGTGCCACTGCACCAGACCTGCATCTTTGAGCTTTACTGTCTATTCCCTCTCTGTCCCTGAGACTGCTTGCTTGTTTGGTGTAGTTTCCCGGGATGAGTGCGTGATGGCTGGTGGGCCAGGGAGCTCGGAGGGCATTATGTGTGACATGGAGCCTCTGACAGAGGCTTAGGAGATGGGAGGGGCCTGGGGCCCAGGAGCAATGTGGCAGGCAGCCAGGAAGGGGCACGGCCACTTTCTAACGCTGGGTTCTCCAAATACTCTCCAGGATTGGAGGGTCCATTCCCATCGTCTTCTCCTACTTCTCTGAGTTTCTGGCACAGGAGAAGCGAGGGGAGCATCTGAGCTGGCTCTGCATGTTCTGGATGATTGGTGGCGTGTACGCAGCTGCCATGGCATGGGCCATCATCCCCCACTATGGTGAGCAGCCTTCAGGAGTCTTGTCCCGCGGAGTGGGCCCCTGGCCCCTGGATTCCCTGTTGACACGGTGACTCTGTCTCTGCCAGGGTGGAGTTTCCAGATGGGCTCCGCGTACCAGTTCCACAGCTGGAGGGTTTTTGTCCTCGTCTGCGCCTTCCCGTCCGTGTTTGCCATCGGGGCTCTGACCACACAGCCAGAGAGCCCGCGCTTCTTCCTGGAGGTGAATGGGGGCTGGGCAGGCCCTGGCCCAGTGTGATGAAAGCAAGAGAAGGCAACAGGGACCCCTCAGTGCAGGCACTCACTGGGGGCTTGGGGAGAGCCTGTGGGCCACCTGCCTCCTCCACAGGGTCCCCATTCTGGGGACCTCTTCTTATTTCCTTTGGCTGAGTGGATCTCCAGGAGAGACTCTGGGTGGGGAAAGCAGGAGTGGCTTTAGATTTTGGCAGGCAGGGGCCTTGGTGCTGGCTCCAACTTCACAGCTCAGGAGAAGTTCCTGCCTCCTGCCCCCTCCAACACTGCCCTGGTCCAGCAGGGTTAGGATGCTAGCTCTTGCCTGTCTCCTTACCCATCACGTCCCTTCTCTTCTGTTTTTCTCTCTCTGCTCTATCAGGGGGTCCCAGCATCTGTGCTTGCCTTTGTCCTCTGGGCCCCCACCTCCCCACCCCACTTATCCCTAGCAGAGTGTGGGGTCTTGCTGAGGGCATCAGGGCTGGGGGGCACAGGATGGGAGGTTTTCTGTGTCCTGAGACTCCAGAGAGCGAACTGGGGTCAGAGGGAGTCTGCAACGCAGGGTCCGGGAGCTCTGACGCAGAGGCGGGGCTTTCGTCTGTGGCTTTAGAACGGGAAGCATGATGAGGCCTGGATGGTGCTGAAGCAGGTCCACGACACCAACATGCGAGCCAAGGGACATCCGGAGCGGGTCTTCTCGGTAAGCCCATCCCACCCCCCAGTCTCTGAGCCCCTTCAGTACCCCCATCCTTTGGTCCATCTGTGGATATACCCCTTTCCTAGACATCTCACATCACACTCCACCTCAGTGAGTCTCAGGGTCTCAAATACACCCCCTGTCTCTCATTCTGCTACTGCAACGAAAACAGTCATGTGGAGGGCGCTGGGGGAAATACAGGCTATTTCGCTCTGCCCTAGGTCACCCACATTAAGACGATTCATCAGGAAGATGAGCTGATTGAAATCCAGTCAGACACAGGGACCTGGTATCAGCGCTGGGGAGTCCGGGCCTTGAGCCTGGGGGGACAGGTAATGCAAGGTGGGATTGGGGGAGAGAAAATAGGCAGTGGAATGAGGTGGAGAGAAGGGCAGGGCTTGAGCCTGAATATGGGGGTGAGGGATGATCTGAAGGCAGTGACAGGACAGAACAGTGGGGACCTAGGGGTCCCAGCAGGCAGCACAGCCACCATCTGCCTTTGCTTACCGCTTGTAGGTTTGGGGGAATTTCCTCTCGTGTTTTGGTCCGGAGTATCGACGCATTACCCTGATGATGATGGGTGTGTGGTTCACCATGTCATTCAGGTGAGGCGGCACAGGAGCTAGGAGAGCTGGAGAAAATGGAAAGGCAGGGGGTGAGGAATGAGGGAAGGGGCTGTTCAGAGCCCTCCCGCTCCCCTGCTTCATGGACGCATGCATGCATTCATTCATTCAGCTGGCTTGCATTACCGGCTGGCCCGCCTTCAGTGCCTGTTCCACACCGGCATGGAGTAGATGTGTATGATCCCAGTTCTCAAGGAAGTCCCATGTTGGTCTGAGTTAGGCAAGCTCTAGCTGCAGAGCAGTGTGGCAGGTGTCCCAGGGTAGGTTGGGGGAATGTTTGGGGAGCTTCAAGATTTGGGGGTGGGCATCTGAGTGGCAGCTAGATAGGCTGAGGGAGGGAGGTTGGAGACTGAGAAAAGAGCAAATATCTTGGAGTTAAGCAGGATCCCAGGGTGGCAGGAGAGAGCCGGCAGGCCCCCGGCACCACAGCCTACAGGCAGGGAGGAGTATGAGACCTGAGGCTGGAGGGGAGTGAGGCCCAGAAAGGAGCTGACTCCATGGGGCTTCCTTGTTTTTGCTCTGCCTGGTCCTGCTCCCTGAGTGCCGTCTCATGGCAGCCCACCTTTGCTTCTTCAGCTACTATGGACTGACTGTTTGGTTTCCGGACATGATCCGCCATCTCCAGGCTGTGGACTATGCAGCCCGCACCAAGGTGTTCCCCGGGGAGCGCGTCGAGCACGTGACCTTCAACTTCACCCTGGAGAATCAGATCCACCGAGGGGGCCAGTACTTCAATGACAAGTGTGTCACATCTCTCTTCCCACCCCGCCCCACTCCTCATCCCTCCTACCCCTTGGTCTCTTTTGTGCTCCTGGAAGTTCAAAATGAGGTGTTTGGGGGGCAAATCCCTGTGGTTTTTTTCCTTCATGTACCAAGGGAATGGGTCCTGGAGGAGGGGCTGAGGAGGCGAACAGGAAGTGTCTCATCATCCTGACCTTTCAGGTTCATCGGGCTGCGTCTGAAGTCAGTGTCCTTTGAGGATTCCCTGTTCGAGGAGTGTTACTTTGAGGATGTCACATCCACTAACACGTTCTTTCGCAACTGCACATTCATCAACACCGTGTTCTATAACACTGGTAAGGGGTGGGTGGGTGCCGGGGTGGGGGCGGTCAGAGACCGAAGGCTTGGGTGGGCGTTGGTGATGGGAGAAGGATCCTCCCTCACTGACTAGCTCTGATTCTCAAAGAGCCTTCTAGAACCCTGGAAGAAAGCGAGATGGCACCCTAGTAGGTATCACCAGTTGTTGAGAAAATCTAGTGGAAATTAGACATTGTCCTATGATTATCTGACAAAAAAAACAACTCATTTCTTTGACCTTGGATGAATTGATCATAATTTAGTGTGGTAAGAACTCAAAATGGGTTCCTGGGGAAAAGGAAAATAATAAAATGGATATTTTGGTGGGGAGGAAAAACGTTGGGAACTGTTGCATTAATCCACTTCTTTAACCAGTGTTCTCAAACTCGGAGATTTCAGTTTTGTGAGCTACATTGAGCCTTCCCATTCTGACGTGGCTCTCTGGTGAGCTTCCTCCACCATGCAGGAAAACATAGAGGATAGAAATTTTTGTCGTTTTTAACATATTTTTTTCGCAGGAATTTTTCCTTCACCTGTAGCCCTGCCGTGCTCACGTTCACAGAACGTGTAAAAAGCAATGACTATTCATGAGAAAACTTGGTACCACCCTGTTTGCTAGACCATGGCCACTTTCTGCTGTAGTCATTTCCGGTTCCCATTGCGTGTTTTACACTGAGTGCCCGAGTAATGCTCAGAGAGCTCCTCATGGCTGAGCCCCGCGAGGTGCACAGCACCAGCCCTCGGTGGTAGCAGCTGCCCTCTCCCGCGTGCCATGACCACCCTCGTATCTTGGCCTTCACCCCTAGACCTGTTTGAGTACAAGTTTGTGAACAGCCGTTTGGTGAACAGCACATTCCTGCACAACAAGGAGGGCTGCCCGCTCGACGTGACGGGGACCGGCGAAGGCGCCTACATGGTGTATTTTGTCAGCTTCCTGGGGTCGCTGGCTGTGCTCCCCGGGAATATTGTGTCTGCCCTGCTCATGGACAAGATTGGCAGGCTGCGGATGCTCGGTGAGGAGCAGAGGCTGGGTGGTGGTGTCGGGACTGCCCGGGATAGGGGTGGTAGGCGGTGGGGGTGACTGTCGCTGGGCTGTGGAGGGGGATTGTCCTGCAGGTCTCTTTGCTTTCTGTTTAGGAGCTGTTGTAGGATGGGGCGAGTCCTGGCTTCTTTGTTAGGGCACAGACTTTGAGTTCATGGGTTTGAGTCTTAGCTCCATCACCTACCTGGGACAAGTGACTTCATCTCTTTATGTCTGGCTGTCTGATCTGCAAAGTGGGCGTGATCATAGCACCTGTCCAGTGGGTTGATGTACTAGGCCAGTGCACGGGAAGCATGAAGCAGGGGGCCCATAGCCGGCATCAAATACGAAGCACTGTTGCCAGCATGATTGGTACACAGGGGCTTACAAGGGAGGCGAGTCAAAGGTGAGTGAGGAGGTACTCACCTTGGCCAGGCTCCAAGCTGCCTGGACGGTTCTGTTATGGTCACACTCATTCTCTCTCCCCTCCCGGCTCCAGCTGGCTCCAGTGTGATGTCCTGTGTCTCCTGCTTCTTCCTGTCTTTTGGGAACAGCGAGTCAGCCATGATTGCTCTGCTCTGCCTTTTTGGTGGGGTCAGCATTGCATCCTGGAATGCACTGGATGTGCTGACAGTCGAACTCTATCCCTCGGACAAAAGGTAGCTGGTGTGAAGTGGGGATGGGGCCACAGGTGTACAGCCCAGAGGTGGGGGTGAGAGGGTAGAGTGACGAAGGGTGGCGGAGTGAGGAAGATGTATTCAGGAGAAAGATGACACACAGGTCCCTGGGTTTCCCTTCTAACAGCTGCGGCTTTGGTCTCCGCTCTTCCCAGTATGGACTAGTGACCTCGTTTTCTGTTTTCTCCCTTGTCTCTCAATCTGTCCATATTCCCTGGCATCCTTCCCTCTCCCTCTTGGATGCTGCCTTCCATCTTCCTCGCCTTCATGTTCCTGCCACCCCCTCTTCCCTGCTCTTGCCCCGGGCTCTCCCCACACCGGTGCCCTGAGCAGGACCACAGCCTTCGGCTTCCTGAACGCTCTGTGCAAGCTGGCAGCTGTGCTGGGCATCAGCATCTTCACATCCTTTGTGGGCATCACCAAGGCTGCCCCCATCCTCTTTGCCTCAGCTGCCCTTGCCCTCGGCAGCTCTCTGGCCCTGAAGCTGCCCGAGACCCGGGGGCAGGTGCTGCAGTGAGGGGGGCTCGGGAGCTTTCAGGGGTGGCAGGCACACTGTGAGCCCAACTCTGTCTTCCCATCCCTGCCCTGCCAACCTGGCCCCCTGCCTCCTTCAATCTCTCCCTTCCCACGCCCCTGTGTTTGGTGTCTTAGCTGTGTGTGTGCGTGTGCATGTGTGTGACCCCCATGGGGAGGGACGACAGGGAAGGCTCCTTCATCCTGGTTTTGGGGTGAAGCTCAACCTACTCCCCAGCCCTGTCACCCTGGACTTTGCACAAAAGAAGGCTGAGCCCTGCCTTCTCCCTCCAGTGTTAGTGAGGGTCCCTGCTTCCCTGCTCTGGGGGTTCTGGGACAGGTCTCCTGCCTTCCCCTCTTTCCCTCTGCCTAGGCCCTGGGGAAGCCACAAGTATGCAGTGCTGTTGGGGGCTCGGGCTTGGGTGTAGACCATGGACCAAAAGAACTTAGAGTTGGAAGGGCCTGGGTGGCCTCTCACTCCTCCAGTTAGATGCTGGGGAGTAGCAATAAACCTCAGCCCTCCTGGCCTCCACTTCCTCCCTCAATTTGGGCTACAAATATGAAGCCCCAAGTTTTATGGAGTTAGCTGATTATTTATTTATATATTCAGTTGTGAGGCAGCTCAGCAGGACTGTGTGTGTGCGTGTGTGTATGTGAATGGGTGTGCTCTTGTGTATGTGTGTGCTATGGGCAAGGGTGTCACTATGCTGTCCTCAAATTATAAGCCAAGGGTCATTGCAGCAGACACACACATACACAATATGCTGCCTCCCACAGTACCTCCCCTAACGTGGGGTCTCTGTCTGGCCTCGGGGGGAGGCATGCTGGGCCCTGCCGAGCTAAGAGTCCTACCATCTAGGGCCATGTGAGGGCACCGGACCAGGTCAGTCTTTTTCTTTTTTCTTAAGAAGCACAGGCCGGCTGGTGTGAGAGGCTCCACCCACCACAGACAGAGAGAGACCGCAGCTGGCCTCCCTGGCCTCCTGCCTGGCCCTCAGGGGTCTGAGAGCAGGGAGGGAAAGGAACCAGGCCAAAGCAGCAGATCCAAAAGCACAAGGAGCTGGGGCAGGGGCAAGGGGAGGAGACAGGCCCTCTTGACAACTCCTCTAAACCTGGGGAGAGATTGGTCAGCAAACGGGGGACCCCCAAGTGCAGGGACCAGAAGCCTCTGTTTCCCCATCTCCCCCCCCCATACGGTAAGCTGCCCTTGTCCCACCCAACTCCTTGTGGCTGCTTTCTTTGGTACCCTCTCCCCAGCCCGCTCTAGCTGTGATGTTGTAGTTTTTTAGCCATTTGTAAAATGTTAAAAAAAAATAAATAAAAAGAAAGAAAGAAAATAACAACCAAGAAAATCCAATCACCCTCCTCCTGCCATGTGGTGCCCCGCCCTGTGGTCACTTTGCCCATTTTGTAACACTGAACCAGGTGGTGACTGTTGAACTCTGGTGTCTGTGCTCAAAGGACTGCCTCCTCCCCCTGTGCCCCTGTGGGCGTGTGTGCCCCTCTGCCCACCCTTCACCTGCTGGACGTAGCCCTGCCCCTGCACTCCCTGGGAGGGCCCATCCCTGTTCCCTGCTCTCCTGGGGGACCCTGAACCCTACTCTGTGGATGTGAATAATGAAATGAGAACTACTGATGACAAATAAAACAGAATCAAATCCTGACAACCCCAAGTGGCCATGTCTACTTCTTTGCTTCTCCACTTTTAATCTGCCTCCTGATGGGTCTGGGAGAGACAAAGATAGAAAGATGCAGAGACTGCCAACTGAGAGCCAGCGTCATGGGGCGCATCACCTGTGTTGCAAGGTGGATTCTCTACTGTCACTTACTTCTCTTGTTTTAAAGATTTGTTTTATTTGAAAGTCAGTACTACTGAGAAGGAGAGACAGAGAGCTTCCATCTACTGATTCACTCCCTGATTAGCCAAGTCAGGCTGATGGAAAGTCAGGAGAGTACTCTGGGTCTCCCACCTGGGTGCAGGGGCTCAAGGACTCAGGCCAACCTCCACTACCCTCCCAGGCCACCAGCAGGGAGCAGGAAGGGAAATGGAGTAGCCGGGACGTAAACTGGTACTTACAAGAAACGCTAGCATCGCAGATGGAGGATTAGCCCACTGTACCACAGTGCTGGCCCCAACCTTTCCAAGTCTACATTAAGAGCCTGGCCTGGGACATTTGAAGACTTTGATAGTCTTTTTATTTTTTTTTTTCCTTAGATTTATCTATTCATATTGGAAAGGCAGATCAGAGTTTTGGAGAGGAGGAGAGACATAAGAAAGATATTCCATCCACTGGTTCACTTCCCAAATGGCCTCAATGGGCAGAGCTGATCCAATCTGAAACCAAGAGCCAGGAACTTTCTCCGCGTTTTCGGCACAGGTGCAGGGTCCTAAGGCTTTGGGTCATTCTCTACTGCTTTTCTAGGCGACAAACAAGGAGCTAGATGGGATGTGGAGCAGCCAGGACACGAACTGGCATCACCATGGGATTCTGGCATGTAAGGTGAGGACCCCGCTACTAGGCCTCACACTGGGCCCCAAAGTAATCTTTCTTTTCTTTCTTTTTTTTTAAGATTTATTTTTATTAGAAACTCAGATATACAGACAGGAGGAGAGACAGAGAGGAAGATCTTCCATCCGATGATTCACTCCTCAATGGCTGGAGCTGAGCCAATCCGAAGCCAGGAGTCTCTTCTGGTTCTCCCACGTGGGTGCACGGTCCCAAAGCTTTGGGCCATCCTTGACTGCTTTTTACTTTTACATTTTATTTATTTTAAAATTTATTTTATTTGTATTTGAAAGAGTTACAGAGACAGATCTTCCATTTGCTGTTTCATTCCCCAATTAGCCACAATGGCTGGAGCTGGGCAGATCTAAAGTCAGGAGTTTCCTCCAGATCTGCCATGTGGGTACAGGGGCCCAAGGACTTGAGTCATCCTCCAGTGCTTTCCGAGATCAGACGAGATCAGGTGCGTTCAGGGTGGTATGGCCGTAGGCCAGTGCTTTCCCAGGTGCATTAGCAGGGAGCTGGATTGGAAGTGGAGCAGCCAGGACTTGAATGGTGTCCATATGGGATCCTGGCACTGCAGGCAGAGGCTTAGCCTATTATGCCATTGTGCTAGGCCCCCTACCCCCAGGAACTACATTTTAAACAAATGTCCTTGGGTATTCTTTTTTTTTTTTTAAGGTTTATTTAGGTTTTTTTTTTTTTTTTTTTTTTTTTTATTGGAAAGGCAGATTTACAGAAAAAAGGAGATACAGAGAGGAAGATCTTCCATCCATTGTTTCAACCCCCCAAGCAGTCACAATGGCTGAGCTATGCTGATCTGAAGCCAGGAGCCTCCCCTGGGTCTCCTACATGGGTGCAGGGTCCCAAGGCTTTGGGCCGTACTAGACTGCTTTCCCAGGCTGCAAGCAGAGAGCTGGATGGGAAGTGGGGCTGTCAGGATTAGAACCGGCCCCCAAATGGGATCTTGGCACATGCAAGGTGAGGACTTCAGCCACTAGGCTACTGTGCTGGGCCCAACCTTGGGTATTCTTTTTCTTGAGGGAATTTTTTGCGTGGTGGCTATTCCTCACTGTTCTCACTGTAGATCATTTCATTCTAGTAATTTTCTATTTTTTTTTTAAATGGTAGCTCTCAGATCAACTTCCTTCCCATTCCCACAGCTGACTTTCAGGTCAGCATTCCACGTTTTTCTTTTTTTAATTTATTTTAAAATCAGAGAAAGGGCAAGTGAGTGCAAGCATTTCTGTCCACTGGATGATATCCCGGATGGCCACAAGAGCCATGGCCGGGACAGGCTAAAGCTTGGAACCAGGAATGCCACCTAGGTCTTCCTTGTGGGTGGCAGAGGCCCAAGTTAAGCTGCACCACAATGCTGGCTCCTTAGGTCCACTTTTAGGAGAAATTTATTTGAAAGGCAGTTACAGATAGAGAGAGGTGCTCCAACCAGCAGAGCCAGTAACATGGACAGCGAGGGGGTCTGGGGATGAAGCACCAACAGAAGTCTCTCCCAAGCCTCCCTTTATTACTTCTTTTATACTCTTTCCCCTTTAGCCAAACAATAGGATGCCATGAGTCCCATTAGTCCAGGCGCTTTTAGGCACAGGCCCATTTCCTGTTACTGCTTAACAAGTGCTAATTAACTCGTTAGCCCACAACCAAAAGGGAGGTCTTGCAGCCACTGGTTCACTCCACAAACCACCACAAGCGCCAAGCCAGAGCCAGGAGCTTTTTCCGAGTCTCCCACATGGGAGCAGGGGCCCAAGGACTGGAGCCATCTTACATTGCTTTCCCAGACCCTTAGCAGAGAGCTGGAGAAGTGCAGTACGGGGACTTGGACCAGCGCTCATATGGGATTCCAGAACTGCAGGCGGTAGCTTCACCTGCCACATCATCAACCCCTCCATGTTCACATTTTTTGGGGAAAAATAAAAAAGATATATATACACATACATGTATAATATATAGTTAATATATATAATATGTAGTTTAATTAATAATAATCATACATATATAATATAAATTTAATTTGAAAAACAGAGAAACACAAAGGTAAATCTTCCATCTGCTTTATTTCCTAAATGCCAGGCTGAGCCTTGAACTCTATTTGGGACTTCCATATGCATGACTGAGGTACTTGAGCTGTTCCCTGCTGCGTCCCAGCATGGGATGGAAAGCAGTGCCAGAAGCTGAACCCCGGTGCTGCAGTAGGGATGAGTGGCCTCAGCAGCATCCTAACTATTAAACTGAATGCCTGTTCCTCCACGATCAGGCCTGCTTCCTGCATTTCCAATCCCCCAAATCATTTCTCTAACAGAACAATCAGCCTCAGAATACTGTGGCATGCTCAAAATTACTGACTGCCCAATTAAGTGTCTTATGGTAACAACGCTTTCTCTCCAACAATCTCCATCCTGATATTATCAGAAAATTGCTTATGTGAACATTATTTGAACCGCCATCAAAAAATGCAATTCAACATTTGGAGAGCTCATATGGGTACGTACAGGGCCGCTGCAGTGGTGCTGTTTGGTCCTGACTGCTCCGCTTCCAACCCAGTTCCTTGCTGATGTGCCTGGGAAAGCAGATGAAGATGCAAGTCCTTGGGGCCCGCCCCCTGCGGGAGACCTGGATTCAGTTCCTGGCTCCTAGCCTTGTCCTGGCCCCGCTCTGCCCATTGCGGCCACTGGGAGAGTAAACCACTGCATGGGACATCTCTTTCCCTCTGCTGTCAGATAAATAAAATAAGCCTTAAAAACAACAAGTCCATACTGCATAATCCTTTATGGCTCACGCTCTTTTTCACTGTTACAGGGTTTTAGCAGAGATGTTCCTTTTTCTTTTTTTGGAAAAGCAGCTCATACAGGGAGGAGGAGAGATCTTCCGGCCGATGGTCCATTCCCCAAGTGGCTGCAATGACTGGAGCTCAGCCAATTCGAAGCCAGGAACTTCTGGGTCTCCCACGCGGGTGCAGGGTCCCAAAGCTTTCCCAGTCCTCGACTGCTTTCCCAGGCCACAAGCAGAGAGCTGGATGGGAAGTGGAGCTGCTGGGATTAGAATCAGCGCCCATATGGGATCCCGATGTGTTCAAGGCAATGACTTTAACTGCTACGCTATCACACTGGGCCCAGGATGTTGCTTATGAACAAAATACAAGTACTTACTGGAAATGATCAGAAGCCAAATATCCCCTAAAGATCAAATTAGCCGGGCCCGCTGCCATGGCCTAGCGGCTGAAGTCCTCGCCCTGCTGTGCCCAGATCCTGGCTTTGATCGGCATGGCACCGGCCGTTGTGCTCACTTGGGGAGTGAATCATCGGATGGAAGATCTTTGTCTCTCCTCCTCTCTGTATATCTGACTTTCCAATACAAATAAATAAATCTTAAAAAAAAAAATCAAATTAGCCATATCTGCCCATTAACCGTCTTCCGACAGCTCACTACCCAGTCCAGTTTTTATGCCATTACTCAGGTTCTTTCTGTGCTCTGCAACCTTTCTTTTTGGGGGTTTAACTTTGTGCTTTCCTTTAAAGAGCCAGCCAGGCCACTTCCTCCATGAAGCCCTCCGTGACTGCCCTAGTCTACAGGTATCTTTCCACTGACCTGCAGCACAGATTCAACAGATCATTAAGAACACAGCGACACACCAGGTACAGCTGCTTTCCCTTTTAATATACAGAACTGTTTGCAACAAGTCTCACGCAGTTTTTAGTTACAACTTCAAAAGGATCAGGCAGCATGGAAGTGGAATTCTGCATCTTTCTTGCGCTGGCTTCCATGTGAAATGCGTTGCTATCCCCGCGGAACAGGGATGTGTGCAGAGGCAGAAGGACTCAGTACTTTGTTCTCTTTTTCCCAGCCCATTGTCATCCTAGTCTTCCACCTCTCTCGGGGTTCAGGGAGTTTTCTTGCTCCCACCCAGGCACGGGGGGCTCGTATCCAGGTGAGGATTTTCTTTCCACTGGGCAGGGGTCCGTGCCTGGATGGCCAGTGCATGGACCGGCCCGGCCAGCTCCTCCGCCAGCGCCTCGTGGACCAGCCGGTGCCGCTGCAGGGGGCTCAGTCCCTCGAAGCGAGAGCTCACCACGGCCACGCGGAAATGCGTCTCGCTGCCGCGGGGCACCGCGTGCCCACCGCTCTCGTTGCGCAGCTCCAGCACCTCAGGACTCAGGGCCTGCTCGAGCTTTGCACGAATGGCGGCCTCCACCGGTCCAGCGGTCCCAGATCCGGTGCATTCCCGGGACAGACAGACGCGACCGGCCATGGAGACCAGGGGCCGGACCAAGCGTCCACGCAGCATCGGCTAGGGCAGAGACATGGGCGCGAGGCGGTGAGGGTCAGAGCCTCCTGCTTCAGCCCTAGGCCCCGCGCGGCCCCCGAACCCACAGCCCGACCCGGGACGTCCACACCCGCCGCCCGCTGGGAGCCCCAACTAGGGCCCGAGATCCTGCCCTTTTTTCTGTGACGTGGATCACAGTTCGGCTGCGCGCGTCGGAGGACTAGAGGCTACGAGGCCCGCGCGCCAGGCGCGTCGGCCAACCAAGGGTTTTACAAGGAACAGGTTTTGGCGGAGCCGGTGATCTGGAGTCCCCATCCCCGTCCCCCGAGCCCTAGGCGAGGCCACTTCTACCTGCAGCTCAGCCTCGGCAACCGCAATTCCCGCTCAGGGCCGTGTCTCCCTGCGTCCCAGGGCAAGGTGCAGGCCTGGCCCCGCGGCACGCTGGGAAATGGAGTCCTTGCTCGGGATAGCCGCTCGGTAGAGCCCATGTGGTGCCCAGAGGGTTCACGGGAATTGTAGTTTCCGATGTCTTACCGCAGCCTGCCACTCCTCCCGTATTAGTGTTTTATTTTTGTGCTGGAGCCTGGGGCGTTGGGCAGGACCTGTCACCAGAGTACAGTAAGCCTAAACACGACAGACCAAAGTGCTGATGAAATTAAACTTAAGCTGAGGAGAGGGCTCGCTGCCGTGGGCTAACGGCCAAAGTCGTCACCTTGAACGTGCCTGGATCCCATAGGGACGTCAGTTCTAATTCCAGCTTCCCATCCAGCTCCCTGCTTGTGGCCTGGGAAAGCAGTCAAAGACGGCCCAAGGCCTTGGGACCCTGCACCCGCGTGGGGGACCCAGAGGAGGTTCCTGGCTTCTAATCAGCTCAGCTCTAGCCATTGCAGCCACCTGGGGAGTGAATCATCGGACAGAAGATTTTTCTGTCTCTCCTCTATATATCTGCCTTTCCAATAAAAATAAGTAAATCTTTTAAAAAAAATATTGTTTTAGCTTTTTAAAGGTTGCAAAACTAGTACCATGAGCACCACATGTAGCTATTGATCATGTTAATTGATAATATTTTGCCAGACTTGCTTTTCAATATATATGTATGCATATAGTAACAGCAATAAAACAGAAACTATTTTGGCTGAATTACTTGGGTTGGGTACAAATTATTATTTTTTTTTAATATTTATTTCATTTTATTGGAAAGTCAGATATACAGAGAGGAGGAGAGACAGAGAGGAAGATCTTCCATTCCTTGTTTCACTCCCCAAGTGACCGCAACGGCTGGTGCTGAGCTGATCTGAAGCCAGGAACCAGGAACCTCCACTGGGTCCCCCACACGGGTGCAGGGTCCCAAGGCTTTGGGCTGTCCTCGACTGCTTTCTCATGCCACAAGCAGGGAGCTGGATGGGAAGCAGGGCTGCCAGGATTAGAACCGGTGCCCATATGGGATCTGGTGCGTGCAAGACAATGACTTTAGCCACTAGGCCACAGCACCGGGCACATTTTATTTTTAAGTTAAGGAAAGTTATTTGAGGGCACAGCTCAATGGCCAGTGACTAAATCCTTACCTTGGACATGGTAGGATCCCATGTGTGTTCTGGTTCATGTCCCAGATGCTCCACTTCCTATCCAGCTCCCTGTTTGTGGGTCTGGGAAAGCAGTGGAGGATGACCTAAAGCCTTGGGACAGTGCACCGTATGTGCAGGGCCTGGAAGAAACTCCCAGCTCCTGGTTCAGCTCCAGCCATTCTAGCCACCTGGGAAGTGAACCAGCAGGCAGGAGATCTTTCTTTATATCTCCTACTCTCTGTAAATCTTCCTTTCCAATAAAAATCAATCAACTATCAGTCTTTTTTTTAAAAAGTGATTTGAGAGGCAAGGATGGGGGCAGCCCCCATTCTCTCTTTCGTACCCGCTGTGCCTGCAATGGCTGGGACCGTGGGGCTGGCTATCGCTGCGGGCTGGGGACTCAGTTCTGCTCCCACTCTGAGTGCTGGGGACCCAACTGCTCGGGCCATCGCGTGCTGCACCTCAGGGCCGCCTCACGGCAAGCTGCAGCTGGAAGGCAGTGCCTGAACTTAGGCTCCGGTGCTTAGATAGGGTGCACTGGAGCCCTCACCTCTACTGTCCTTCTCACTCCAGCTGTGACATCATTTGCATCATCTGTTCTACATTTCCAACATGTGTCTACTAAAAAGACGGACATTTTCCTGTATGAGCACAGTATCATGGTCACACCCAAGACTTTCAACATTCATACAGTACGCACAAACCAATGGTATTCAGATTTCTGCATTAAAAACAAAACAAATTTCTGTATTGTCTCCATTATTTGCTATGGTTTGAGTATGCCTCTTTCCGAGTTAATGTTGGGTTGGCATAGAGAGTTAAGGCTCTACTTGCTACAGCAGCATCCCATATAGGCACTGGCTTAAGATCTGGCTGTCCCACTTCTGATCCAGGTTCTTGCTAATGTGCCTGAGAAAGCAGCAGGAGACAGCTTAGGTATTTGAGCCCCTGCAGCCATGTGAGAGATGCTAAAGAAACTCCTGGCTTCGGCCTGACTTAGTCCTAGCTGTTAGGACCATTTGGAGAGTGAGCTGGTGGGTGAAAGGTCTTTCTTCTCTGCCTGTAATTCTGCCTTTCAAATATATAAAAGATAAATATTTTTTAGAAGGTCAATGCTGAAATTTAATGACCATTGGGTTAGTATCAAGAGGTGGGGACCTCAGAAGATGACTAGGCCTGGAGGGCCGTGTTTCCATGAAGAATGAATGTCTTATAAAAGGGCTCCGTGGGGCAAGGCTTCCCCTTCTGCCTCCTGCCTAGATGAAGCTATCTCCGAGGAACTAACCCTCACTAGACACCGAATCTGCTGGTGCCTTCGTCTTGGACTTGTCAGCCTCTGAAATTATGAGAACATAAATTTCTGTTCTTTGTAAGCTACTCAGTGTGTGATGTTTTGTTGTGGACACACAAATGGGCTATGACAGTGACAGCTTAGTTCTCAAAAACGTAGTCAAGGATCATGGGGGGTGTGCAGGTGACTTTTGGTTTTGTTTGTGAAGACAGTTGGCTGCAATGTGGAGGATGGGCAATGTAGAGGAATCAACAGCGAGAACAGAGACCAGGTGTGAGGTTAGGGAGCAGCACTGGAGAAAGCTGGGGCCTTGGACCAACGTGGTGGTGCTGGTGGTGGAAAGTTGTGGCTGCAAGATATACTTGAATATTAGAAAAGTAATAGTATCTGGTAAAAGATTAGTTTTAGAAGGGGAATTTTCAAGAATAATTACTGGGTATATGTATCTGAAGGTACAAAATTAGTATGAAAGGGGTCTGTGTAGTAGCCTGGTGGTGAAAGTCCTCACCTTGCAAATGCTGGGATCCCATATGGGCGCTAATTCTAGTCCCAGTGGACCCGCTTCCCATCCCGCTCCCTGCTTGTGGCCTGGGAAAGCAGAGAAGGATGGCCCAAAGCCTTGGGACCCTGCACCCACATGGGAGACCTGGAGGAAGTTCCTGGCTCCTGGCTCCAAATCATCTCATTTCTGGCCATTGTGATCACTTGGAGAGTGAATCAGTGGATGGAAGATCTTTCTCATTGTCTCTCCTCCTCTTTCTATATATATATCTGACTTCGCAATGAAAAGAAATAAATGTTAAGTAAAAAATAAAACAAAATCCAGAATCTAATTGTTAAATTCTGAAAATTAACATAATGATAATATTATTATGTGACCTTATTCAGCTTTTGTCAGCTGCTCCCCTCATGTCTCACACATATAGTAGAAACAATCTCTCTGGTCAAGAAACCAAAGTAAGGTGTCACATTCAGGTGCGATGGCTCTGTGGTCTTTTTAAAAAATATATATTTATTTTTATTGGAAAGTTAGATTTACAGATAGAGAAGGAGAGAGAGCAAGAAAGATCTTCCATCTGTTGGTTCACTCTTCAAGTGACCACAATGGCTTTAGCTGAACTGATACAAAACAAGGAGCCAGGAGCTTCTTCAGGGTCTCCCATGTGAGTGCAGGGTCCCGAGGCTTCAGGCCATCCTTCACTGCTGTCCCAGGCCACAAGCAGGGAGCTGGATGGGAAATGGAGCAGCTAGGATATGAACCGATGCCCACATGGGATCCCAGCAGATGCAAAATGAGGACTTTAGCCACTAGGCTACTGCACCGGACCTTGTGGGCTCCTTTAATCTGGACTAATTCCTCACTATTCTTTTGTTTTTCATGCCCGACAGTTTTGAAGAGATCATTTATTGGGTATAACATTACTCAATGGAGACTTGTCTAATGTTTCTATACAATTCAAATTCAGGAGAGACGTTTCGGGCAAAATCACTGCAGACGTGGTGCTGAGTCCTTCTCAATATACCTTACCAGGGGACTTGAGATTTGTCCTTTTCCTATCAAGGATTTTAATAACCCGCTGAATCTGGTGTCAGACTTCTCCATTGCAAAATTCTTTATTTTCCACCTGTAATTGTGAGAGATGTAGTTCCCTCTGATCTTTGGCTCCACTTTTTATGATTTTAGTTACCTGTGATCAACTGTGGTTTGGAAGTGCGAAATGGAGAATTCAAAAAAAAACAACCTCTTCCTAACTTTGAACTAACTTAAAAATTCACATTTTTAATATTGTGTACATAGTTGAGAGGGATGCATGCTCATGCGGGCTTGGATTAAGGTGTAGAGGGTCGGGTGTGGAGAAGTGGGCAGGACACATTTTTTTCCCTCCTGTGTCTGCGGGGGAAGAGGGGAGGACTGTTCCAAGGGTGTTACTTGAGTTAGTTTTGATAGCCTTGAGACATTGTTGGCGTCATTACTACAGGGTTGAGAAAATCTTTTCAAGGTCTACAGGTTGACAAAGTCCACCTTAGTTCATCCACAGACCCAGGAACATGCTGCAAAATTTGACCAGGAGAATTGTCCAACTTGTTTTGTTTTCCATCATCTGATGAGGCAGTTGATGGTCCCTGCTGGCATAGATGAGCTAGCTGCTATGTCCCCCTTGTGCATCTGGGCATGCTGTTCACCACACAAGCAAAGAAGGGGCCCCATCCTGATACATGCACTCCAAGGTCAGCCCACATATATTGTGATTTTCCCTGTGGTCGGGGCTTGAGTCCAGTCATCTGGTTGGGGAATCCCCCAAGAAACCTCACCTGGGGTGAATTCAAAGTTGACACTTGTGTGCGCCAGCCAGCGTGTGGTCTGTCTGCAGCAGCAGCCAACACACATACTGGTAGATGCAATTGCCTGGTGAATTCTGCCCCATCTCTCAAACAAACTGATAGGTGCTGTGGCCTAGCCCATCCAGCTTGCCACAGGCCTGATCCTTATGCATACTAGCAGGTGTCGCAGCCTAGTTAGGTAGAACACCAATAAGTCCCACAAGGACTGCCCCAAGCCCCATTTTTTTACACATGCCAGCCTCTGCTGTGGTCTAGCTCAGCCCAGCCAGCATTCCCATCTGGTTTTTGTGCATACATAGGTGCTGCCACTTAGCTTGGCCTGACCTGCCAGCAGACCTGGCCTTCATGTATGTTAATAGGTGCTAACACTTTGTCTAGCCTGACCTGCCCCAAGTCCTGGTTCTTGTGCTCACTAGCAAGGGAGTGCCCACAGTTCCCCTGCCAGTCATGTTCCCAGCCCTGAATCTTGTGCCTGCCAGGGGTTACTGCAGTCCAAAACTAATTTTTACTATTGTCATAATTGCTCTGTTTCATTATCGCTCATTTCTTTCTGTGCCTACTTTGTAAGTTTAACTTTGTCATAGGTGTGGATGTATGTATAAGAAAAAACACAGTGTGACTGACTCTCCACCTCCATGGGTTTCACATCCATGGATTCAACTGACTACAGATGGAAAATGTTTGAAAAGAGACTTTCAGCTGTACTGAGTGTGTACAGGTTGTCCCCAACCCCGTCATTATTCCTTAAGCAACACAGCACAGCAACTTTTTTTTTTAAAGATTTATTTTTATTATTTGTTTATTGAAAAGGCGGATATACAGAGAGGAGAGACAGAGAGGAAGATCTTCCATCCGATGAGTCACTCCCTAAGTGAGCACAACGGCCAATGCTATGCCGATCCGAAGCCAGGAGACTGTTCCGGGTCTCCCACACGGGTGCAGGTTCCCAAAGCTTTGGGCCGTCCTCGACTGCTTTCCCAGGCCACAGGCAGGGAGCTGGAAGGGAAGCGGGGCTGCTGGGATAGAACCGGCACCCATATGGGATCCCGGGCGTGCAAGGCGAGGACCTTAACCACTGTGCCACCGCGCTGGGCCCAAGCACAGCAACTTTTAAATAGCCCCTACTTTGCATCAGGTTTGCATAGCAGCCCTAGAGATAACTTAAAGAATACAGATGGATGAGCTAGATTGTATGCAAGTACCACACCATTTTATATGAGAGGTGTGAGCATCCCCTGTTTTTGGTATTCTGGAACCGATCCCCGACAGGCACTGTGGGCTGATCCCATACATTTGCAGGGTTTGGTACTATGTGTTTCAGGCATCCACCGGGTATGTTGGAACATCTTTCTTGTGTCTGGAGGACGACCCTGTATTTTGAGTCTATAAAACTTCCTTTCTCTTTAAGTTCTGGCCCATTAATTTTAGCATCCGAGCAGTGTGTTTGAGGCAACTTTTACAAATACTGAAGCTGAAGTGAGATCATGGAGGTTGGGCAGTGGGCTCTTGAGAACTAAACTGACTAGAAAGCTGTTAAGGAGACAACATCTGTACCAGGACTGATCTTGGGGTTTGGCCAGGCCTTTGATGGTCTGGATGGTGCTTGTTTGAGCTGGTGAGGGTGCTCCCCTCTCTCAGTCTGCTCATACAGATGCTGAGCTCTTCCGGAAATGCCCTGGCAGATACACCCGTGAGCCGTGTTTTATTCTCCACGTGGGTATCCTTTGGCTCAGCCAAATTGACACTGGACAAAATTAACCATCACAGCCTTCTCATCCAGCTTTGGGACCTGCAGGGTCCCTGGCTCTGTAGAGGGTTCTTGACATTTATTCTAACAATTCTATTGTGGTAGGGTACCTTATTTTTATTTCATTGATGCACTTCTATTATGTGTTCCTTCATTCTGTCTACCATAGTCTGTGATTGGCACTTGGAGAAGAGTAGCTGACCAAAGAAATATTTTAGGAAAGAAAATGCCATGTCTCTAAGAGTATAGTTTCATGTTTTCATGCTAGAGACATCGAATTAGCCCAGTAAGATCCAGACAGAAGGGATCAAGAAGTACTGAATAAACAATTCAGGGAAAGCGTGGTTTCTCTCTTGAGATAATTACAGAATGGAAATGAGAGCAGAGTTCAAGTCGAGTGAAGATCTAGGAGCAGGCTGTGAGCAAAAGAGGCATGGTTGCACCAAGGCTGTTGGAATAAGAAAGTGGTGTCTGGGCTGAGGTTGGACAGCTGAGATTTTTTTCTAGGTCAAGAGGATGACGCATTCCAGCCGGAGGCAGCCATGTGTGCAATGGCAGGGAGCTGTGGGAAGGTCTTAAGTCGTGACTGGCGAGCGGAGTGCAGGGGACGTGGGGAGGGAGAGGGTGATGGTGATTACTGTAGAAAGGAGCCACCAAGACAAGTGAGTGTTCAACTCAGGTGCCCTTGGTGAAAAATCCCAGAGGCAGTGAAGAATAAGATCCAGCCTGTCTGTGACAGTGGATGCTTTTATAAATGGCCTGCTCTATTTTGTCACAGCCTGGAAAGAATGCTGGGAAAGGAACTCTGAGGAACAGTATATAGTAATTGAGTCTGATAATGAAGTTTGGTATGACGTTAAACTATTCAATCTAATTATCTTTCTTTTAAGAAGAAGAAAATAAATCTGGAAAAATTATTTTATTAAGCCCAGCAGTGAATTAGTGAAGAGTCTATTGTTTGGATCAAGCAGACCTGGGTATCAAGCATGTCTTTAAAAAAATGATTTTGTTTATTTATTTGAAAGAATTACAGAAAAAAGAGATAGAGATTATGCTCTTCCATCCACTGGTGTTTTTTAAAATGGCAATTGCGTGTCCCTTAAGGGTACCTGTTGTGATGGAGTTCCTGTTACCTGTTTTACTGTTTTTAGCCCTGTAGATCTGAATAGTTGACAACCTCAACCTCCATAGTTGACTAGTTTCCTGGCAAGGAACCGACACTAACAAAATACACATGAACTGTATGATTCATTCGGAATGTCAGTTCACTGACATCTAGTGACTGCTGTGTTTTCTTGTAACTGGCTTGCCCCTTTTCAACACATTGTTTTCATCTTGGTCTAGAATAATCTGGTACTTGGTGACTGAGCACAGAGTCTGAGCAGAGGAGACCCGGCCGACTTCAGAAGTTTTCCACTCATGTCTTGACCATTGTGTCTACCAGCCAGCTACGCTCATGGCTGCAGAAACAACATATGCCGAGTGTGAGTGTCACCCATTTAGATGCTGTGTGATCCACATCTTTCTGTTGACGCACCCATCTTCACAAGTGATAGCATCAGTCGGGGTAGAGCCGTCTTCTGAGATCGGACTTGGGTGTTCCCAGGTGTTGTCTAGATCGACAGCAGCATTCTGGCCAATAGCTGCCAGGAACGGCTTGAACTCCCTGGAATGGGAGCAAGAAACACAGCACAGCTTTTAGTAGACATTACCAGGAAGGGGGTGGGGGGTCCCGCCAGCCTTTCGGATGGGAAAGCCAAGCGACCCAACAAAGGTTGTTGATGAAGTCTAAAGGAGTGGTGACAGACAAAGGCACAGGAAAAAGAAGGCTGCTGTTACGACTAAAGAAGACGGGAGTCCATTTGACTTAGGACCAGGATGTGGACAGTCAAGAGAGCAGAGGCGCGGGCTGCCCTTTAGATAGACTGAAGTGTGAGATGCTTGCTGGCATAAACTGGTGGGAGCACAGGAAGCAGATACAGGAGACTGAGCTTCTGAAACCAATGCGTGTGTTAGCAAAAAAAGCACGGGATGAAGCAAGCTCCTCGGGAAAAGAGAGAAATGGGTATACGCAGAACCGGAGTGGAGTCACGGGTTCAGGGCTGATAGAGGAATAGCACAAGATGAGCAAAACCACAAGTGTGTATGGTGGTGGTGCAATCCTGAGCAAGCTTCCAGGCGGTGTCGGACGCCCCTTGCAGGCCACCAGCAGGATGGCAGCTCGATAATACGTACTGGCCAAATCTCATTTGAGCGGATAAGAGTAGCTGCAGGAGGGGAGCAAAGCCAAGCGGCCGGCGACCCCCAGCGCATCAACCGTGTGCGACTAGGGCGAGACAGAAAAGGCGGGCCTTGGAGGTCATTTAGAGCTCAGGGGAAAGCCGCCTCAGAATCCCACATTCTTGAGAGAAACAACTTTCCATCTCTTTGAGGCCTTCTGCAATCCTTTGGGATCTTTCTGGGAATTTCCCTGCTCTAACATGGGGTTTAAAAAACGCACAAGGTGCTGTTGAGTAGAAAAAAAAACTCTGATTTTTTTTTTTCTGGTCCGAAGCCGTTTCTCTTTAAAAGTCCTGGCATGCAAATAAGGGGCTTTAATGTGGCTCTCAGCGATTGGTGGGTACCTGCAAAACTCGTCATTTCCTCGCAGGCGCAGGGTGCAGAACTAGAGCCCGCCCTCGGCTTCCCTATTGGCTGTTTGGCCCGGCGCTACTAGCCAATCAAACCGCTTCTCTTCACCCCTCCCGGTGGCTCTTATAAATTACATCAAATTGGCTATCTAGTCTCATAGCCTCTCCTAGAAAAACAAGCGGTGATCAAGTGGTTATCCGTCATGTCGGGTCGCGGCAAGCAGGGGGGCAAGGCCCGCGCCAAGGCCAAGTCGCGGTCGTCGCGCGCCGGGCTGCAGTTCCCGGTGGGCCGTGTGCACCGGCTGCTGCGCAAGGGCAACTACACGGAGCGCGTGGGCGCGGGCGCGCCGGTGTACATGGCGGCGGTGCTCGAGTACCTGACGGCCGAGATCCTGGAGCTGGCGGGCAACGCGGCGCGCGACAACAAGAAGACGCGCATCATCCCGCGCCACCTGCAGCTGGCCATCCGCAACGACGAGGAGCTCAACAAGTTACTCGGGGGTGTCACCATCGCGCAGGGCGGCGTGCTGCCCAACATCCAGGCCGTGCTGCTGCCCAAGAAAACCGAGAGTCACAAGCCTGGCAAGAACAAGTGAAAGTAAACAGGCTTGACACCTGCAGAACGAACCCAAAAGGCTCTTTTAAGAGCCACCAAAGTGTCAAAGGGAGGGCTGGTAACAGCGCGCTAGCTCTTTTCTTGGAGACAGTGGGTGGCTCTAAAAAGAGCCTTTTATCTTTGGCGTTGGTTTGTCAGGGTTTTATTTGCTTTTCGCTTTGTGGCTCTCCGTCTTCTTGGGCAGCAGCACGGCCTGGATGTTGGGCAGCACGCCGCCCTGCGCGATCGTCACCTTGCCCAGCAGCTTGTTGAGCTCCTCGTCGTTGCGGATGGCCAGCTGCAGGTGGCGCGGGATGATGCGCGTCTTCTTGTTGTCGCGCGCCGCGTTGCCCGCCAGCTCCAGGATCTCGGCCGTCAGGTACTCGAGCACCGCCGCCATGTACACCGGCGCGCCCGCGCCCACGCGCTCCGCGTAGTTGCCCTTGCGCAGCAGCCGGTGCACACGGCCCACCGGGAACTGCAGCCCGGCGCGCGACGACCGCGACTTGGCCTTGGCGCGGGCCTTGCCCCCTTGCTTGCCACGGCCTGACATGATTGAAAAGCGAAACAGATATAGACAATTCACAATCTCCTAACCAAACAAGCCTGAAGGGGACTCTGCGAAGAAAGCCTTTATAAGCTTCCCTGGGGGTGGGGTCAGGAACGAGCTTTTCATTGGTTCTAACGTGGCTTCAGAAACAGCCAATAAAGCCAACTTGTCGTTACGTAGGCTTTAACTGAAAACGCAAGTTTCCTGCAAGAACCAATGGAATAGAAAGAGATTTTGATCCCTAATTTGCATAAAGTGGTTATAAAAGAATCAGGCTTGCCCGGGCTCATTTTTCTTTCCCCTTTAAACCCTCGTTGGTGTGGCGTTAACTATGCCAGAGCCTGCGAAATCCGCTCCTGCGCCCAAAAAGGGCTCCAAAAAAGCTGTGACCAAGGCCCAGAAGAAGGATGGCAAGAAGCGTAAGCGCAGCCGCAAGGAGAGCTACTCCATCTACGTGTACAAGGTGCTCAAGCAGGTGCACCCCGACACGGGCATCTCGTCCAAGGCCATGGGCATCATGAACTCGTTCGTCAACGACATCTTCGAGCGCATCGCGGGCGAGGCGTCGCGCCTGGCGCACTACAACAAGCGCTCGACCATCACGTCCCGCGAGATCCAGACGGCCGTGCGCCTGCTGCTGCCCGGCGAGCTGGCCAAGCACGCCGTGTCCGAGGGCACCAAGGCCGTCACCAAGTACACCAGCTCTAAGTGAGCCCCTGCCGGGACGCCTCCCTACAAAAGGCTCTTTTCAGAGCCACCCATCTCATCAGCAGGAAAGAGCCTTGTTCACTTACGTTGCCCCTTAGTAAATCTACTGTAGTCCAAAGGTAGTGGGGAGCTTTTCCTAGGCTGCTTTCAGCTTCCCAGAGCCTGACTGGATTTGTGATGATGCGTGTTTACCCTCCAACTGCCGCCACCAGGGGCTGCTGTGTCAGGGTGGCTTGGTTGCGCATGTTGTAACAGTTTCAGCCTAAAGTGGCTGATTTCCGTTATGGTGTAAGAGGAGACTCGGGACACAACCTGGAGCGCTGGGCGTCCACTGCGTGATAACTGCGTTCCGCCAAAGCTGGGAGGCACCGAGCGCGTCAGGGTCTCCAACAGTGCCCCGGGAGGTCTTGCCTGTCAAAAAGAGGTTCTGTGCGCCTGGGGGTAGCCCAAGTCCAGCCTTTCCGTGATTGGGTGGCATGAGTATTCAAAATTCGCGCCGCTTGGTAATTTGTAGACTTTGTTTTCCGCCTCTGACGTTGGAGCTTTGGGATTTCTGCTAATGAAGTTTTTAACGGAATTGTTGGCATTTCATGCTCGGTGCTTGGAATCTCGCCCCAGGTCGCTGCGAGACTGGGCGTTTAGCTTGGGGGTTTGGGAAACACTTCACAGGACCTGCCCGACTCGGGCTCAGCCAGAGGGCCCCTGCTCCCTGCCTGTTTTGTCTGATCCTCGCCCTAGCACGCTCCTGGAATGGTTCACTTAGTTTCTTGTTTATGATCTTCTCAAGCCAGAGACAAAGGCCCTGCTGGTCTGTTTTTCCGCGTTATCTTCAGTCCAATCACCGCCCGGTGCATGGGGTTACATACCGCTTTAACTGTCGCTACCGTGGGTGGATGGGAGCTGCTTATTTTCACTAGAAAGTATGTGAAGGTACAATGAAAATGGAAAAGATTTCTGCAACTCCTTGACCAAATATGCCATTACTCACAGTTTTGCAACAGCCTCAGGCTGAGTGAGGGGTGAGGGTGGGGAAGGCACACTAATCCTTTTTATTTATTTATTTATTTATTTTGGCAGCGGTAGGTCTTCCCTTTAGGTACAGTGGTTACTGGGAAGGGCTTTTCACCCTCTGGGCCCCATTGTGACTCTGTGCCCCATTGGGAGGAACTTCTATAGGGACCCCAAGAAAAGCAGGGGCTTGAGGGGAGCTCAGTGATTGGCTTCCTCGATCTTGCAGCCAACACCTTCTCTGCTGTGAGAACAGGTATCTTTGTTGGAATAACGCAAAGCTGACTCAGGCCACGCCTCAGTGGAGGGTCTGGTCACCTCTTCAGCCCTGCTTTTGGTCGACGGTTTCTGGAGTTGAAGGCAGGTGTTTCCTGAATCCAGACGTTCCAGCTATCACTCAGAGGCGACGAAATCTGAAGTCTACTGCGCGTGTGTTTTCAAATCTGTGTAGATACTATGTGATTAGTAAAATGTACTAACTCCTTTAAAAGCTGTGTTGGATACTTGTATCTGTAATATATGAAACTAGCTGACACAGTCTTCATGGGTATGTGGAGATGCTGGGCACCTTTGCCGTGAAGGGGGAGTATTTATATAAGCCGCCAGCCTTACTCTTACCACCAGAGGGGCACTGGAGCAGAAACAGGCTGTTGCAAGGCCCTGGGCAATGGTTAGCAATTGAGATACACGAGCAGAAATAAACACTGCAAACCAGGTGGAAGAAATAAGGCCCCGACGCTACAGAGCACTGCACATGTGTTCTGGATTCTTTGCACATATTCACCCATTTAATTCTCAAGAATCTCCTACAGTAGGAACAATGATCACCTTGTTCCATCTTCAGGAAAGAAATCTGAGGTAAGCTCCTAGCTTAATGCTAACCTGATGGAAGACGTAGGGTTACTTTCTGAAAACCTGGCCTCCCTTTGTGGACTTTGGCTGAGAGTGCGCCTTGCCTGTGGCTGGCTGCTCGGGAGCTGGCCATGGGGGAGGGCGGCCGGGGCGGGAAGCACTATGAATCTGCATTCCAGAGGCCTGAGCTCACTCCGTGAAGCCGCAGTGCAGGGCTCACTTCCTGGGAGTGGCGTAGTTTCTGACTCCTCCGAGCCGCGACGTCCGTTAGGAAAGATGAAAGTAGTCTGGAGGGAGAAGTCATCAAATAATGATGACAGGGTTACTCTCCTCAAGAACCTCTCTGGTAATCCCTTCCGCTCTGACGTCTTTAAACGTTTCCTGGAGCTCTGGCTGCAGGCGCCCCCAGCATCCCTCCGCTCCTCTCGCCCCACCCGCCCCGGCCAGCGTCACCCTCCCTGTAAGCCAATCAGAGGGGGAGCGGAAGAAGGCGCCTCGGCGGCGGCGCGGACTCCGCCCCTGGATCCTCTCTCCCAATCAGCGCTGGCGTGGTGGGCGGGTTTCCTGTGCGCCCCTCCTCCCACATCCCGGGCAATTTGGAGCCGCGCGCCGGGCGGGAAGGTAAGATGGCGGAGTAGCAAAGAGAAGCGGTTAGCTTGTGAGTCTCTGGGCCGACTCGGTTGCCGGTTTCCGCAGCTGCCACGAACGCCGAGAGAGGAGTGCCTTGGGTCGTTGGCCAGGATGCCGAATATCAAAATCTTCAGCGGCAGCTCCCACCAGGACTTATCCCAGAAAATCGCCGACCGCCTGGGCCTGGAGCTAGGTAAGGTGGTCACGAAGAAATTTAGCAACCAGGAGACTTGCGTGGAGATAGGGGAGAGTGTCCGCGGCGAGGATGTCTACATCGTGCAGAGCGGCTGTGGTGAGATCAATGATAATCTGATGGAGCTTCTGATCATGATCAATGCCTGCAAGATTGCCTCGGCCAGCCGCGTGACGGCGGTCATCCCGTGCTTCCCCTACGCGCGGCAGGACAAGAAGGACAAGAGCCGGGCTCCCATCTCGGCCAAGCTCGTTGCCAACATGCTGTCCGTGGCGGGTGCCGACCACATCATCACCATGGACCTGCACGCGTCTCAGATCCAGGGCTTCTTTGATATCCCGGTGGACAATCTGTACGCCGAGCCGGCTGTCCTCAAGTGGATCAAGGAGAACATCTCCGAGTGGAGGAGTTGCACCATCGTCTCCCCTGATGCCGGCGGGGCCAAGAGAGTGACCTCCATTGCCGACCGCTTGAACGTGGACTTTGCCTTGATCCACAAAGAGCGGAAGAAGGCCAACGAGGTGGATCGCATGGTGCTGGTAGGAGATGTGAAGGATCGCGTGGCCATCCTGGTCGACGACATGGCTGACACGTGCGGCACCATCTGCCACGCGGCCGACAAACTGCTCTCGGCTGGAGCCACCCGAGTCTACGCGATCTTAACGCACGGCATCTTTTCGGGGCCAGCCATTTCCCGCATCAATAACGCGTGCTTTGAAGCCGTGGTCGTCACCAACACCATACCTCAGGAAGACAAGATGAAGCACTGCTCCAAGATCCAGGTGATCGACATCTCCATGATCCTTGCAGAAGCCATCAGGAGAACTCACAATGGGGAATCGGTTTCCTACCTGTTCAGCCATGTCCCCTTATAATAACATAACTTCTCGGGCTTTTGTTTTTAAATAAAAGTAACCCCACTGCTTACTTTTTTTATGTTGGGGCTCACAGTGGTAATTGTTCTATGTGCACATCTTTAAAAAAGCTTGATATATCTTTTCCTCTCTGTAGATCTATCTTTTCATTAAAAATAAATCTTAAAAAGGGGGGGGGGGGAGGGGAGGGAAGGGCTGGCGCAATGGCTGCAATGGCTAATCTTAAGCCTGTAAATGGCAGGCTCCCATAGGAGCTCCGGTTCGTATCCTGGTTGCTCCACTTCCCACTCAGCTCCCCACTTGTGGCCTGGGAAATCTGCGGATGATGGCTTAAGTCCCTAGGCCATCATGGGAGACCCGGAGATGCTCCTGGCTCTTGGCTTCAGATCGGCTCAAGTCCTGCTGTTGCAGCCATTTAGGGAGTGGACCAGTGGATGGAAGAGCTTTCCTTCTTTCTATAAATCTGCCTTCCAATAACAATAAAAGGTAATAAAAGCTTGGTTTAAGCTATCTGTCGTCTGTCCTTTGGTTCTTGTACAGGTCTGCCTCCCATAGCTCACCAAGGAGGTTTTCTGCTCTGGTCAACATGGTCTGTTACCCTCCTGTTCACTTTTTTTTTCCAATCCGGATTGAACTGCACCTGCTTTTGGCTTGGCCAAAGTTTTCTTTGCAGTTACAGGCCATAAACTCTAGGATTCAGCTCAAATACCAGCTGATAACTTGTTTTCCAACAATTATCTTTTGGTATGCAATCAATTGTGTGTATTTAACTTGTAATTTGCTAAGGTTTGACGTGCATACAAGTTCCTGTAGAAACATCACGCCCTGGTAAGTTTCCTAGTGCCCCTTTATTAACCCCTCTCACCTGCCTCCCCAGGGTCCATTTTTATCTATTCCTGTCCTCAGGCAGCCACTGTTACTTTTGTAGATGGCGTGTATTTTGTATAATTTTATGTAAATGGAAATATACAGTGAGTGTGTAGTTGTAGCTGCTTTTACTCAGCACAAGTATTTTGAGATTCATCCATATTACTGCACAGATCACTAATCAGTTTTTTTTCCCCCTTGTATGTTTATACTTATTACAAGCCAGTCACCTGCTGATGGACAGTTGTGCTGCTAGTCCTTCCTGCACTTCTCAATGCACTCTAACTTTGGTCTGTTGGTTTCATGGATGGGCTGTGTGTATGAGACATACACAGACTTCTATTCAAGTGGGAGATGAGGTTTCACCTCAATCCAGGTCACTCCTGTGGGTGGCAGGGACCTGGGAACTCGGGTCATTACCTGCTGCCACCCACAGTACACATAGGCAGGAGACTGTGGGAGCAGGAGAGCCAGGACTACAGGCACTGGGATGTGGGGTGTGGAGTGACCAAGTAGCATCTTAGGGACTCCATGTAAACTGTTTTGAGTGTGTGATGTAGCAATATCTCAAAATTCCCATATATGTAGATATCTATCTATAT